TATTCCAAGTCATTTCAGCCACCAGGCTGTGGGACTCTAGGTGCAATGGAGGGTGTCGCCCTGGTCCCCAGGTAGCCTGCCCTTGCCTTTCCCTATGTGGTTTTTTTGAGCCCGGCCCCTTTGATGGATGTGCAGAACACCCACGGTACCTCTTGTGGTGCTCAGCGCATCTGGGTGGGATGGGAGAGGATTTGCAGTTATTTGGGTGTGGAGCCCAAGGGTAACCTGGCCAGGCTGACACAGTGAGGTGGAGGTGGCAGAGGCTGGCTTGGCAGGTCGGGTCAAAGCCCACCCAGGATGTAGAAGAGGCTTGTGGGGCTGGAGAGAGCAGAAAGAATGCCAGGATTGGAGGGCAGCAAGGTGGGGGGCAAGGGGAGAGGAGGGCCACGTAGGTGCCTCTGTGTGTACGCTCCTGCGTGTGTGCATGTGTGCGTGCATGCGAGGGTGTTTGCTGTCTGTCTTAGGGGAAAGATCCAAGGGTCGAGGTGGTTACTCAGACAGACCATGTCCGTTTCGCATGAGGCCTAGCTGTGGGTTTGGAGTGCCAGGCCAGGCAGAATGGCAAGAGCCAGGGCTGGCTGCTGAATACGGTGGCTTCAGCTTCTCTGTGGCCTTCAGAATTGACAACAGAAAGAGGGGTTCAGAAATCCTGCTCCCTGAGTCTGAGGAAAGCTGATTATCTGGCCCAGAAAACTGAACACTCAGTTTTCTTATGTGTCAAATGGGCCTGCAGGACGGACTGGCAGACTCGATGTAAAAAATACATCTTAGCCATCACTAATGTAGCTACTAGGGAGGCCTGTTCTGCAGCCCCATGGAGAGTGCAGACAGGAGGAAACCAGGAAATCAAAGCGGGCCTCACAGGAAGGTGACAGTGCGTGCTCACCCTTGCGCGAGGCTCCCCCCATTGATGTGCACTCACCCGTGTGGTTCCCCCCATCAAGGACCGCACATGTTTCTGCTATCCAGGGACACTCCATGTCTACGAGCCCTCGCACTCCGCCCTACACGTGTTCTAATGTGTGGCTTCTCCTTATTTTGTGTCGCTGAGGAGTTCTAAGGTTTTGGCCCAGAACTGCAGGTCCATCCCTTCTTTCACGGTTTCTAGCTCATGTATCATCCCCGGGACTTCCTTTCTTAGGTATATTGAAAGATTTCCTCCAATTCTTTCATTTCATTTCCAGATTTTATGTTTGAAATGACTTGCTAGTTTTCTGGTAGCATGTATAGAACTTTTCAGCTTCTCTCCATTGGTTTAAAATGCCGTGTTGAATGTTGCTATTACAGATTGTTTCCTGATTTTTTTTTTTTACTTCTAAATCTTTTTCATACCTGTATTTTTGCTTTGAAGGATTTTCAACATTTTTGTATTAAAACCTCTTTAACATAATGTAGGATCCTGCTGAAGATTTCTTTAGAACTGTAAATTTTCTTTTAAAACCAATGATTTATCGATTTAAACAATTTATTGAATAAGCTCCCCAGCTGGAGCACATGTCAGTGAATAAAGTTAGGTCTCTGTGAACTCAGCCTCCAGCGTGTTACGCTCAGGTGTTACGCATCATTCTCTTGTAACCTGGGCTTGGAGGTGTCCACACACAGTTGATCCTCAACTGGGGTTCCATGAACAACAAAGCCTAGCGTCACCCAGGGAAGTGCCCATTAGGAGCTGGGTTGGGGCTAAGTGGCCCCCACACTTTCCATTCTGTTACTAATGGACCTCTGACTTGCTTCCACTTTGGAGCTGGCCCAGAAGGCTGTGCTGGGGGCCATACGCACATCCTTGTGGACTCACCACCATTTCCTCTGGGCCTGGGGGACAGTGAATGGGTCAAAGGGCAGCCAGGGGTTCAGCTTTCTTGCCAGGCGATTCCCCCCACATGTGCCAGGCTACGCCCCCCTCAGTGCTGCAGCTTAAGACCAGCGTCCCCTTGCTCCAAACGTCCTCTTCCTCAGTCCTCCTCATGCCGCCCATTTCGCTGGTGTGTCGTGAGGTCTCGTGCAGTGTTATTTTGCTTATTCCCGATGACTGATAATTTTGTGTACATTGGAAGCTGCTTGTGGGACACCTGGATCTCTTTTGTGCAGCATCTATGCAAGTCTTTGCCTATTTTTAAAGTTGTCAGTTTCTTATTGATTTAGAGTCTGGTACAAGTCCTTCATCGTACGTATGGACAATAAGCACCATCTCCCAGTCTGTGACTTACCTTTGAGATCTCTCAGGAGATTTTTTAAATGATCAAGTTCTTAATAGCATTCATTATGTCAAACTTTTATGATTAGTACTTCTCGTGTGCTGGTGAAGTCTTTGTCTACTCCAGAGTTGTGAAAATAGGCTACAATATTTTCATCTAGGAGCTTTATTGTTATGATAATTGTGGAATCTTTCACGGGGCGGGGGACCGGTATTGCATGTCATCAGCTTTGACACAGGTCACCTATGATTTATGACGGTAATGTTTGTGGATCAAGTAAAACAGGCTCACAACTCATTCCTCTCATAGGGACATTTGGGGGTCCCAACGCCACTGCTGGAGGAGGCTCCCCTTTCTCACTGAGCTGCAGGGATGCCTTGGCTGTGTCTCAGACACCTCTTTCTGTGTGAATCTGTCCTGGCTTCTCCCGTGGGCTGCTCTATCTGTCTCTGCTGTGCCACAGTTGGTGGTCTAAGGAAGCCCGTGGTTTAAAGACTTCCCATATGGTTCCCAGGGCCACCAGATAGGACTTCCCTATGTGAAAACAGGGATTCTCAACTGTAGATGTTCATCATGACCCTTTAGAGAAGTTCCTCAGAGATCCTCTCCCTGGCTTTACCCCGCTCTACCAATTCCAAATCTCTTTAAGTGCACGTTCAGGGCGTGAACATGGTTATAGCATCCAGATGACCCTAAAGAGCTACTAGGAGACAGTCTGCTTCACTGGTAGGTTGCTCAGAGTTCCAATAAAGGGACCCAAAGTTCAAACTCACCTTTACAATGTCTGGAGGCCTTAGATCAGCCCTGGGCTGGGGCATCTTTGATGTGCTGCTTTTGCCCTTGGTTTTCATCTGGAGGACTCTTACTTGTCACTCAGAAGCCAGCCCCTGAGTGCCCATCATGACACCATCCTCAGCACCGTAGGTAGGACAGGTTCCTTCTGCACACTGTGTAATACCTTCCTAGATGCCTCCTAAGTTCTGTATCTGGCAGAACCAATGGGGAGGAAGACTGGAAACTCCCAGCTCCCTCTCTCACCCCAACAAGGCCACGCTGATGAAATTATGCAGGTCCCTCCTCAGCCTCAGGCCAGTGCCACTGGTCCATCAAGTCACAGGAATTGCCCTAAGCTGGGCAATCACCTTTGACCTCTTGGTCTGGGCCCTGAGTCTCCCAGGCGCTCAGGTCTAAGCCCAGGCCCTTGCTGGGCACTAAGTCGGGCGGGTCCTCCCACAGACATCATCCAGGCCTCCCCCTAATCCCACCTGCAAGGCTTTCTCTCAAGATAGGGTGGCCAGGTTTCTTTTCGGGCCTGGATGCACCCAGCCGTGGCCGCCCTCCAGTGGAGCTGCCCTCCACCCATGGCCTGCAGGCCTCTGGGTGCTGTCTGAGTTCAGGCACCCCCGAGGAAGCCAGTGTCGCTCGGTGGTCACCCTCTCACCCATGCTTGTCCCTGCACGTCTGCTGTGGGGCTCTGGCCAGGAGCATAGAGTGTCTAGACAGGTAGCAGGCGTGACCTGAGACTCCCACAGGCCTCACCCTGTCATTAGCCGGCTGGGTTCTCCCCTCCCAAACCCCGAATCCTTCCCCAGGATCAGCTTCCACCTGGCTGGCTCTTGCCCTCCATCTCTGCAAGCCTCTGCCACCACGGGACCACCTGCCCTGGCCTTAGGACACCTGTTTTCACACATGCATCGCATCTACAGCCTCCCATCTGGCCCTGTCACTGGACGCCCTGGCCTGCACACATATCAGCAGGCAGGGAGGATTGTCATTAGGGGCTCCTGCAGCATCTTCTCTGATTCTGGAAACTAAGGGACCTCACATTCCCGCAGCCTGGAAACCTTGGGTCAGGAATGCATCTGTCCATGGCCAAACCATGCCCAGGCGTGAGCCAGCATCACCTCTATCCAAGGAACCCTCATTGGCTCGCCTGCTGTGTAGTTTCAGGGATGACAGCCACATCCCCTAAAAAGTAGAACACACACCTCCATCCCCCACCTCACCCCCTGCAAGCAGAACAAACACTTTGCGGACCTCTAGTGGGGCCACCAGAGTGAGGTCACAACTGCCATTAGGAAACCATGCCCCATGAGGTCGGAATCCTTGTTGATTTTTCTGATCACTGGAGTTCATCAGAGAAAACAGAACTGGGAGTCAGCCCGCAGGCGTCCGTGCTCTTCTGTCCCAGGATCTGCAGTTTGGAAGACACTGACACCATCTACAAGGTGTCTCTCTTTGAATGACAAAACAGAAAATCAGAATTTAATTTTATCTTGAATGCAACTCTAACCTAAAGCAGCTCCCTTAAAGACAATTTAGAAAGTACACAGAAGTAAGGGGAGGGAACAACAAAACTCAGGCGCGGACTACAGAGCCGGCACCACTGTGCAATAGGAAAACGGCCACTTTCTCTAATGATCGCAAGTCTGATGTGGACGTCTGCTCTCTGTTACCCCGAAGAGACATCGGTCATATCGCTGACTGTTCAACTCTCCTCAGTCAGAGACTCTGCAAGAGCTAAGGTGACAGAGCTGACACTTTGGAGCCCGTGAAAAAGAAGCAAAGAAAAACGAGAAAAAGGGAAATGAGCCCCCAAGAAGCCCAACTGTCACTCTGCCTCGATGACAAACGTAATTGGGGGTCACATATTCAGTGTCTGATCCACTTGTAGACTATCGCAGCCTCCAGACCCAGGCAGTGATTGGGAAATGGAGGAGTTGCAAAAGACATGAGTGAACTTCATTAGGGTAGCCCCAGCCCAGGGGGTGTGGTCCTACATATCAGGCAGCGGCATCCAGCGGCCAGGAGAAACCCCCAGAGAAGCGGTGCGGCCACTGCTCCCGGAGCCCCTCCACCTGCCCTCTTAGACTGCTGATTCTATTGGCCTGCACTCGGCCTTCCCCAGAGACATGGAGGTATAAATCGTACAGCAGGAGGGCTGATCGATTTGGCTGGCCCAGTGGGTTTCTTCTGGATGTACTGTGAGTATGGAGGCCCCTTTGGCAAGGGCGAGGGTTTCTCCTCTATGGCTGGGGAAGTTGGCTTCAGATTGATGACAGAAAGCTAAAGGGACCCCACCATCTAAGGTGGGTGTAATGGGAGAAAACTCTTAGAACGTTGCCCAGATCTGGGGGCCTCTCTTGGAGGAGTTAGCTGGGGGGCTTGGATTCACTGCCGTTAACATCTATTTCCAGAGCTTTCTTTTAAAAAAAAGAAGCTGGGTGAGTGTGGATATAGGAGTGGTCTTGGGGATATGGTAGACCCTCCAAGTGGAGCCTGCCCCACCCCACCTTCTTCCCTGGCTGCAGTGAGCTGTCTGTGGCCTCAAATGCTCTAGCTAGCTATTAAGTCACCACTTCTGGGAGAAAGTGAGGCCAAGCAACCTGTTTGATTCTTCAGACTGCTTTGCAGAGTTGCCCCCAGTCTCCGATCCCCACTCTGATCTGTCCCTAACACATACAGATCCCCTTGGTCTCTTCCCTTTCCCAGCACAAGGGGCCTGAGCTTGATGGTCATTCTGGCTTTCCAGTAAGTCCCAGGAAAGGAGGACAATCAGGCTGGGCAGAGCTAGCCCAGGGATTTGGAGAAGTCTGTGAACTGGTGTGGGCAACACTTCTCGGCCAGCAGCCTCAACTCGAGTGTTCCCTGGGCACTGTTCAGGTGCCCCAGGTCCTGGGGCTCAGGGCTAGGGCTCAGCCACACGATGAAGGCAGAAATTCACAAGGCAAAGCAAGCAGGCTCTGCTCCATCCTTTGTTTCCACAGCATAAAGTAGACTGCCGTGGCGATTAGCGTTCTGCCCTAACTTGGGGCTCCTCTCACCTACAGTGGGGAAAGGGTGCCCAGCACCACCCTTTAGTTCTAGACTTGCTTAACCTTTCAGCCACAATCACCCAGCATGATTGGGTCTTAGAACGCCAGCTGCTTAGGCCAGGTGGGCTGCACAGCATGCCTACGATGTGTCTTCAGGATGTGTGGCTTTGGCAGTGGTCTTCTTTGGGGATACCAAAATATATCTCTAGCAAAATCCTTCACATCTCTCAGCCCAAGGAAGGTACTGAGTGTCCCCAAATGCCTGAAAACTACACAATTGTGTGAAAACTACACAATGCTACACAATTGAAACTCTGGAAAAAAATCTGAGGAAAGCTGGAATCTCAGAGGGCCCGGGGTAGGAAAGGATTCCATGCATGCAGCCTGCAACGCTGCCTGAAGTTCCCTCTACTGGGAGGGGACGCGGGATGGGAGACTAAGGGGCACCCTAACTTTTTGCTCTCACTGGCTGAGGAAAGATATCACAGCAGCTTCATCACAGAGGGTGAAGTCTGACAGCAAACTTCAGGAGAAAGGCAGGTCAGGAAGGGGACAGGAAGGCCACCCACCAGAGAGGATGGTTCCAAACCACGGTGCCCTGTGTGGATCACCTGTAGCCAGCGAGTGGTCTCTTTGCTTAACGTTTCGTTTCCCCCAGCCTTCTGGCGGTAAACAGGAAAGCCATCTGTACAGTGTACAGTGACAGACACCATGGCTGCCCCTAGGTACCCTCAGGCTCACATCTGAAGATCTGACCAACTTGAAAATATTTGGGAAAAATAATTTTGGTGGAAATATTTCTGAAGATGTCTAGATGTTTTTGTCTTGCTGTATTCCCTAAACGATACAACATGAGAACTATTTAAGTAGTGTTTGCATTGTGCTCATTACTATAGTAATCCAGAGCTTAAAGTATACAGAAGGGTCTGTACAAATAGTACAGCGTTCAACATAACAGACGTGAGCATCCTCGGACTGTGATGTCTGTGGGTGTCCTGGGGACGAATTTGCTGTCCCATCTCACTGTCCTTAGAGGGTGCTTCCAGGGACTGTGCACATCAGGACAGTGCCAGAGGAGGAAGTGGTGCCCCCGCCTGACCCGAGAGCCTGCCTTTGGGGGCCTCCTGTGGGAAACTGGAGCCACCTGAGCTGCCGTTTCTTGCCTGGCTGGGATCTGACTGAAATGAACGGCTTCTAAGGTGTCCTAACTCAGGGGGTGCTGCATCTGTCCATAAGGGAATAGGGAAATTATGGGGAAAATTGTTCCCAAGTTAACAAGGGTTAGACCAGAATAGTCAGAGAATTGAAGCCCTGATTTTTAGCTTGATCTGCCCCCAAGGGTGTCCTGCTGGGTCCAGCTCTTCTCTCTCTCTCTCTCTCTCTCTCTCTCTCTCTGTTTCTCTCTGTCTCTCTCTGTCTCTGTCTCTGTCTCTGTCTCTGTCTCTCTCTGTCTCTCTCTCTGACAGCCACACACAAATCCAACTCACAACACACAGAAACACACACAATCACTCCAAACTAAAACCCATAGAGAATTGCTCAACCCAGGGAGCAACCTGTCAGTTTATTAGGCATTAATTAGTTGCTCAGCTATTTTAATTGATGGAAAGAAGTTTAGCCTACTTGGGCGTCTAACCTACATGACAAATTTGGGTCAGTTTAGGGACCAGGATGAACGATGGGAAGGCCCAGGCTGTTTATACCGGGTGGAGGCAGGGCAGAAGGCCTGAGCGGATCCAGAGGATGCTCTCTGACCCAGACTCCTGGGTAGGAGGAAGTTAAGACCCCAGGGGTGGCCTCCAGCTCCAGGGCAGCCTTTGCGGGGAGGAGGATGAGCTCTCGCTGACATTTACTAGGTGAGGGTGCTGGTGTCCGAAGGACCAGGGAACTGGCCTCCTGCTGTCCAACCAGCAGAACAGTGCCATTCCCCACTCAGACCTCACCTCAGAAACTCAGGGAAACAGGAACGCTTTTGGGGGTCAGCAAAGGATCTCTGCCACTGATCTGTGTGCGTAGGGTGCTCCAGGAGTGTCTTCCGGGCGGAGCCCAGCAGTCTCCCCACACTGGGCTGGGCGGGCACAGCCTGCCTGACTCACAGGTGCAGCTCGGCCAGCTCCCTCTGGGCTTCGCAGCTTCGCGGCCACCACACCCTGCTGAGCGAGTTCCTCGGGCAGCCAGGGAGCTCCTGCTCATCCATCACCAGCTTTCCTAATTTTACCAAAGGTAGTCCCTGGAGCGGAAGGTGCTTTGAGAACCCCTGGGTTTGAATTGAAAATTTGTTTTCAGGAGGCCATGGGACCAGAGGACAGAGCTCCTGACCTGAAAAAAGAATTCTTTGAATTGTCAGGATGCTTTCGGCCTTAAGTACCCGGCCAGGTAACTTGATACTCACACAGGGTAGAGGGGGCGCGGCTCCAGCGCCAGCTCCCCTGAAAGCCCTGGAATGTGTGCTCTTCTCTCCTGCTTGGTGCTCCAGCGGGCAGCATGCAGTGCCAGCCTGCCTGCCATGCTCTGCTGCCAGGAAAGACACAGAGGGATCTGATGTTAGCTAGCCTCTCATTCTTTAATAACCCACAGGGCAAAGGTTGGAGGATTAAAGTGGCAGATTCTAGGCATCATGTCCAGGATGCAGAAAGCTACAGTGACGGACAGAGGTCCCTCAAGGGAACTGAATCACTGCCAGGGTGATATGGGAGAGGAGGGGACAAGAGCCGGAATCTTCTTGAGGTTATTGGTATCACCCCTTTCGGATTCCCCATTATTATTATAAGTGGACCATCGTCTCCCACCCACTAAGACTAAGACAAACTAAAACTAAGACTAAGACTAAAGACAAGACTCTAGGTCATCGGCCAAGGTCAGTGATGTCATCCGTATGCCCTTGCTACCACAGGATCAATACTACTTAAGTGACCATACTTTTCATCTTATTAATTGATCATAATTTTGACCCACATTGTACCTGCCTCATAATTTTGTTCCTTCGAAAAGCAGGCTCACTAAAGCCAGGCATTGTGGCATACCCCCTGGAGTCCCAGCCCTCTGGAGGCTGAGGCAGGAGGATGGCCCAAGTTTGAGTTCAGGCTGGGCTACAAAGTGAGTTCAAGGCCAGCCTGAACTGCACAGAGAGACTCTGTTTTAAAACCACCCCCCACAAACAAAAAAAAACTAGAAACAAAGAAAGAGAAGAAGGTTCACTAACAACCCACCGAGGGTCAGGGTCCCCTCCGGTCTCTCCTGTTCCCTATTCCCATTCCTCATTCCTTTCTTCCACTAAATTCTCCTGCTCTTCAAAAACAAGCAAACAGTGCTCAACTCTCACGCGTGAAGCGAGGCTAACCATTCCTCCTCCCTGGGATGGCACTAAAGCTGAGTGGTGAGATGCCTCTCCACATCGCTGGCCCCTCCACTGGCCTTTGTACCTGGGCTTCTTTGGGAACCAGATAGAAACAAGGGAGCACCTTTGTGATTTTTCCCGCTAACTCAGATCTGCTACTCAGCAGGACAATCTCCAAGGACAATGAACCTCACGCTGGGCCTGAGTCTGGGCCTGGGCCTCTTCCTGGCTGGCCTCCTCACCACAGAAGGGCAGCGGAAGCCCATCTTCTCTTCTCCGATCTTGATGACTAAGGTTTACCCCCGAGGATGGAAGGAAGAAATGAACGCCCAGAATGTGGCCAAGCGCAACATGGAATTTGGCCTCAAGATGCTCAGGAAGCTGGCTGCCAACAGCCCCAGGAAGAACGTCTTCTTCTCGCCCTTGAGCATCTCCTCTGCCTTCTCCCTGCTGTGTCTGGGGGCCCAAGACTCAACGCTGGCCGAGATCAAGGAGGGCTTCAACTTTAAGGGGATGCCGGATAGGGACCTGCACCAAGCCTTCCACCGCTTCCTCTACCAGCTGAACCAGGAGAAGGAGGACATCAAGCTGCTCTTCGGCAACACCATGTTCATGGACCGGAAGCTGGAGCCCCAGCAGAAGTTCCTGAGAGTGGCCAGGAACATATACAATGCGGACATTCTTCCTGTCAACTTCCACGACCTGGAAGACACCCAGAAACAGATAAATGAGTACATCAGTCAGAAAACCCACGGCAGAATTGACAACCTGGTCAAGAATATCGACCCTGGCACTGTGATGCTTCTTACGAACTATGTTTATTTTCGAGGTAAGGCTCAGGCGTGCTGCTATGGAGGAGAAAGGGTGTCCAATAGACTCAGGTTAGAAATCTTGCCTTTCATTGATCTGTGGGCTTGAAGTCCCATGCACCTAACCTCTCAATCCCTATCTGCAAAATGAATACCATGACAGACAACCCTTGCAACCCATTACGGGGATGTTTGTGAGGTGAGCATTGTGCAGTCTAAGTTATTCTCCATATGTAAATTTTCATTATTATTGAGTATGCTGACAACATTGGCTGTGGAGGATGGACTGGCATTCTTCTCTCCATTTTTTAGGTGAGCAAAGAGAAACTCAGAGATTAGTTACTTATTACAAGTCCCAAAGCCAGTCAATGGCAGTCAGGATTGGAATCCACTTCTCTAGTCCCTGGGGCCATGCACCCTGTACCACATGAAGTACCTGCCCAGGATGGTGACTGTGTGGGTCACAGTGACGATGGTTACTTAGGTAGATGGCTTCATCTCCCTATCAGACTTTGTAGATTCTCGAGGTCGAACAGAGAAGCTGAAAAAGAAGATAAAAAATGATCCCAACTCAAATGTAATCTCCTCCTCTTAACCACCCACATACACACATGCACACTCACACACAAATTAGCCCAAAACAGGTGAGAATCCTGAGGTCACAGCAAGGTCACTCCTGAGTCGTGGGTAACATGGTCCTGAATAGGGAAGTCTGAGTCGCCCAAATCCCATAGGAAGAACTGATAAAATGACAGTCTGAAATGACAGTCTGCCTAAACCAGAGAGGAGAAAAGAAGAAGGAGGACTTTCTCAGAGTCCCTTTGTTCCGAGATCACATCAGAACACAGTGACAGTAATGTTTCGGATGATGACTAACACGTGCTCAGCACTCACTGTACACAGTCACTGAGCTGCACTGTCTTACCTTATTAGGTCCCAAAGCAGCCCTAGGAGGTTCCTGTCAGTGTCCTCACTCAACGAATTAAGGACTCTGAAGTCCAGGGAAATTGGACTCTTGTCCAAGGTCTCCTTTCAGAACAGTGAAGCCAGGACTGGAACTCATGGAGTTGACCCCCAGAGCCCCATACTGAGGCCTCTGATGATAACAGGTCTGAAAAGATACTGTGCTGAGCTTGGGTGCAGTGGAGACGATGTGTCCTCAGGATCGAGAGGGAGGAGCTCCAATGCCCAGCCTTGAGTGCTCGCCATGGCCAGCACTTCTGAGGGCAGCCGGGCTCGTTAAGTTTTCTTAACCGCTCAAGACAGTGACTCCTTTAGGGTTAATTTAAAATAAAGTGAACTCATTTGCACTATGTCATACCCAAAGGAGCTCCCCCATTGAAATCTCTGTTGGGAGATTCTCACCCTCAGCAGCATTGGGGCATGGAGAGGGCCTGCTCCCTTTCCTGGTCAGCAGTCGAGGTCCTGGCTTCATTTAGAGCTGACCCTACCACCCCAGAAGTCTTCAGGACATGGAAGAAGGGCAGGGATTCCTAGGGTCTTACTGTGACATCCGAATATCCATATCCCTTACTCTGAATCTCTGTAGCCAGCCACCAATGGAAGTCAGATCTGGTCACCTTCTTACCATCGGGACACTCATGTTACTTTTGTCCTTCTTCAATCCTAAGCCAGGTGGGAACATGAGTTTGATCCAAAACAAACGAAGGAGGAAGACTTCTTTGTGAGCAGGACCCAAGCAGTGAAGGTGCCCATGATGTTCCGAGCGGGGCTATACGACATGGGCTATGACAAGCAGCTCTTCTGCACCATCCTGGAGATTCCCTACCAGGGCAACTTCACGGCCACCTTCCTTCTGCCCGACAAGGGCAAGATGAGACACCTGCAGGAGAACCTGCGGGCAGACGCTTTCGGCAGATGGAAACAACTCATAACAAAACGGTAAAGAGGGCTCCTGGTGCGCAGGCTTCTTCCTGCTTCTCTTCCTCCATGCTGGATTCCCTCTGGTTGAACTACGTGGTCAGGCCCTTCCGGGCACCATGGTGAGCGGGAGGTAGGCTGGGAAGCAAGTGAACAGCGAAAACCCGGTGCCTCCAGGGAGATGCATGAGAACCACGGTGTCCCAGTGTAGGGGAGAGGTCAGAGAGGGGGGGCTTCCTAGAGAGAGCGGTACTTGAGCTAAGACTTCAGGCTGTACAGAAGGCAGAGGAGCGGCAGAATCCTAGGCAAAGGGAGACCAGGTATCATAGGAAGCCGTGAGGGTAGGCTTAGGGTTCATTAACAATGGAATGAAGTCTTCAACTATGGTGTCTCAACCAAGCCATGAAGTGTGTCTCAGGCAAATGATGCTAATGACAAGTAAAGGACCAATTAGGTGAACTATTTTCTTTGAAAACATCAAACTATAGCAGGTGTATGGTAACCCCACAGAATTGCTGCCTACTGCAGATTTTCTTGGGAAAGGAAAACCTTCCCTTGGTGTTAGAGTTAAATCTTGAGGAGTGGGTGGCACCTTGAGTGTGGCTGGGCTGGGCAGGGTCCGTGGCAGCCAGGGAGGGGCCAGGAGGACGAGGTGGAGAGGGCCTCAGTAGGAACAGGATCAGGACTCCCCGAACTGCTCTCCAAGCTCTGTGTTCCACCGTGGCCCTACCACGCTCTGTCCATCTGGAGGAAGGTGTTTATCGAGAACCTCAGCCGTACAGGACATGCTACTGGGTACCAAGTGGGCAGAGACCAGGCAGGGACCAAGCTAGGACCCAGGGACTGAACTGAGGCTACTTCTTTCTGCTGGGTGCCCCTTGGAAGAGCCACAGAGCACATCCCTGCTGGCAGAGTTAGCTGAAAGAAGGCTCACGAAGGGAAAGAATGCCAAAGGCTTCCGGCCACATCCCAGTTCCTAGGGAGGTGAAGCTAAGTGTCAGGGCGTCCCAGGAGGGGTGCTGCACCCAAGCTCTGCTTGCCCCCTCCTTCTCTCCTGTTGCAGGAGATTACAAATCTAGAGTCCAACCTCCATGGAGACTGGGTTTCCTGTCATTACTATGTGGCCATAGTAACGCTAGACTGCTGGGACTCTGGACAGAATTAGACCTGCGCAGCACCGCCCCACAGAGCATGCGCACCAATGCACTTCCTGCCTGTACTCCAGAACGCAGCTGCTTCCGGTGTTCCCTGCCCTGAGGCCCCACCCCCCACCCCAGGACCATGGCAAGGAGGTGTCCTCTCATCACAAATGCATCCTGCCTCCCAGGCACTTCCAGGCTGGGAATGTCCTGCAGCAGTCCACTTCCATCTCCTTGCAGGACAGTGGATTGGCTGCCAGTCCCCACGTTTGGGGTGCAGGTTCCTTTCATCAGAACAGGGGAGCATCATGTTCCCACCTCCTGTGCCCACTCTGTCTGCAGACACGGTTGCTTTGATCTGCTGGCAGAGCTCTTAGCCTGGCCCCTCCTTCTGCCCCCGGTGGGAGTAGAGAGGTTGGCTATCATTCTGTGCTCTTTCTGTGGTCTTCAGGAGCCAAGACAGACAGACATACCCCGAAGATATACCCCCCAATTTACAAGTGCATGCAGTATGTCAGTGTTTAGGCCAGAGGTCCATTCAGTGTCCCGCCTCAGCACCGAAGCAGACACCCACTTCCCCTTTGCCTAGCCCCCTCTGCTGCTCTGATTCCCAGAGGGAAGTCCCGTTTCTCCCGGAGGAAATCCAGCCCCCACCCCACCCTTCAGGAGGCAAGGAGCTGCTGTGTCTTTGAGAGCCATTGCCTGATAGGTTTGGAGGGTCTGCTCCTTGCAAGATGCCCCGCTCACTGTTGCTATGGCCTGGATGGACATTCCTGCCTCCCAGCAGCACCCACGGTGTCTGCGTTCCCACTTAGAGCGGATGCTGAGGTCCTTGTTTGTATGCAGCGTCCTATGTGCCCTTGCACCCTGGAATATGACCTTAGAGTTGCCTGCATCATCCAGCACTCTCGCCTGAGTTCCCATCGGCTATGCAGCTCTAGCTTCTCCCATGGCATCATCTCTAGGGCCCAGGGATAGCTCACAGCATACAGAGGGGGCTTCTCCACGGGAAATGCCAGGCAGGCAGCTGCAGTCAGGGTCCATAGGCATCTGGTATACAGTAGGCACTTAATAACCACTTGCTCCATGAATGAATGAGTGGAGAGGTAAATTTGGGAGCTTTAAGGTCTGTTGACGGTAACTGAAGTCACAACACTGAGGAGATTCCTGGGCGGGAATAAAGGCAAAAAGGAGGTGAGGACCGAGGTCCCCAGTGGTGACAACTGGCATCCTGCTCTTCAATTCCATGGCCTAAGGGCTGCGATCCCGTGTCCCAACCCTGGGGTTCCCAGAAGCAGCATGGACTCTGCGTCCCTGGCTTGGACTTGGCAGGGTAGGGCTGGCTCGGGGCATGGGGGACATCATCTTGGCTATGGCCCACAGGAGACTTCAGGACATTTCCTCATACCGGGTCCGGGCCTGGTCAGCTAGGAAGCAGAGACATAGTTTAGAGAGCACAGGTGTTTTCAAACCAGGTCCCAGGTCAAGGACACCCTCCTTAGCCCTGGACAAAGATGTGAGGCGCTGGGAGGACAGAGGTCTCCTTTGTCATCTGTCAGAGGGTACCACCTGCCTCACCCTTGTCCCTGTGACTTTGCAGGGTTGTCAACGTGCACGTGCCCAGGCTCCTCATTTCCAGTACCTACAACCTGAAGAAGACCCTCTCCGAGCTGGGCATCAGCAGGATCTTTGAGCAGCATGGTGACCTCACGCGGATTTCCCCTCACCGCAGCCTGAAAGTGGGGGAGGTGAGTAAGGAGCCTCAGACGGCCGGCAGGGCCACTGTCACAGCGGCAGGGCCAGTGATGACGCCTCCTCCACACAGGCCAGGCTGCAGCCCTGCGCTGCCCCGGCCGGCTGGGCAACCCTCGGCCAAGTGGAAAGCATGCCCTCGGCCCCTAAGCTTTTGATTCCAGCTTTGAGAACCAGAATTGTCCCTGGTACTCCTAGTGCCAATTAGAAGTCACTTCAGTGGCACAAACATTGATCAAGCCAGGGGACATTTATTAAGTCCATTGCTCCCTCTCAGAGGCCTCACAGGCTTCCTGGATGTAAGGGGTAGACAGGTTCCTGTGGTGACAATTTGGGTACACAGAGGTCCTGGCAAGGACGGGCACCTCCTGGGACAAGAAGAGAGGAGCACGCAGGCAGGGCCCTCAGACTGAGCAGATGCGATAAGCGATATGTACTTGGCCACTTCTGGGTTTCAGATAAACGATAAATAACTGATAATGTGAGCACCTGCTCAGTATTGCTTGGGGTGCTTTTATCCTCAGCCGTATTTACGGCCGATCTTGAATTCAGGTTTCCTGGGTGTAACGTAGGAGCCCAAGCAAATCTTTTGGGTTAAGGGGGTGTGGAGGGGAGAAGGTTTTGGAAGCGCAACATAGCGTGGGGAGATCGGACAGCAAGGGAAGGGTTGGGTCGGGGGCTGGAGGTGGGGCAGCAGCTGGAGACGGTGTGGTGGGGACAGGAAAGGGGAGGGGAGGGGGAGGGGAGGGTCAGCTGGGGGAGGAGATGGTTCAACTTGGCCAAAACACAGAGGAGGAAACACAGTCCATGGACTCTTCTAGATTTGAGTGTCTGTACCTTAATTTTGAGATTTCTCTGAAACATTCCATGGCTGCTCTCCCTCCTGCAGCTCTTTACTGATTCCAGTGGATCTTTTCTCCTCTGCAGTTAGGGGAGCTGGCAGTTGTGTTCTCAGCCCCTGAGATTTGCTAGACACCCACCCTGCTCTGTGTCCCCTGCTACACGGGTCCTTCCCCAGCAGCTCCCTTTGCTTGCTCAGTGTCATACAGCAGTGACAACACACGAGCCCGGAGCCCCAGGCCACAATCACCAGCCAGTTTACAGCTATGCTGGGCAACTCTGGCCCAGTTGCAGCCCACTACGGGCCTCCTGCCCAGCCCAGGGCACTTTCCCTGTGAGCAGCCAGGCAGGCACTGACCTCGCTCTGCTCCATTCCTGCAGGCGGTGCACAAGGCCGAGCTGAAGATGGACGAGAAGGGGACCGAGGGGGCCGCAGGCTCCGGGGTGGAGACGCTGCCCATGGAGAAGCCCGAAAACTTCACGATAAACAGACCCTACCTGATGGTGCTTTATGAGACCAGAATGCCGTCCCCGCTCTTCTTGGCAAAGATTTCTAACCCGAAGGGGAAATAGGATTTCTTGAGCACTGCAGAGCTCAGCCACCAGTTGGGATAAACACACTTTGTCCCCGTGGGGGGCGGGGTGCACAGGCACACTCTGACCTCATCCTGCCCTGGACTGCTCCCATGGCTGCCCAGAAGTGCTGCCTCCCAGGCCACCCCAAACCCCTCTCTGCAGACTGGGTTTCCTGCATTAAACACTGTGCTCACCCACCTGACCATGTCCCGGCCTTGTTATTTAGCAAACAAGCACTCCTTCTCCTGCCAAGCCCACTGGCTGTTAGATAATTTGGGGAAGGTGGGAGCCACAGCAGGTGCCTGGGGTTTGGAGTGAGGGAGGAGTGGGTTCATGTCTTACACGATCATCTTCCCAGAGCTTCCACACAAGAGTGTTGGGCCAGCCAGGCTTGCAGGTAAATGATGACACAGGTGGGGAGCCCAACCCTTCAAAAGCTTTAAGAGGAGCTTTAAGAGGGAGGATTCCCTGCCCGCAGTGTCTGTAGCAGACACAAAAAGTAACCTAGTACATCTCGGCCTCACCTCAACAAACTGGGCCTGCAGTCCTCTCTGTGACCACGAGGGGGCACCCGTGGCTCCCATGGTGACTTGCGCCTCCAAGTGGGTGATTGGTTTCAGGTGAAGGCTCCTTTGCGGCTGCGCTGTGGGAGGAGCAGATGCTGAGCGGCTCGGCACTGGAAAGCCTGGGCCCACGGCTTGCAATTGCCTTTCGTAGCAGTCCACAGCTCACCGAGCCCTTTGTGGTCACCTTGGGCAGCTAGAGGTGGACACTGAGGCTCTGACAGCTGGAAGGAAGGGCCTCATGGGAGCCACGAGCAGTGGCTACTTCTGGTTTGGGGCAGGGAGGAAAGGGTCCCGCGCTGACCTCAGCTCCCCTCCGAGTCCTTGTTGGTTGTCCAGTGAGGTTCCAGCCTCTGTCCTGGGCACCGTGCAGGCCCAGATCCCCAAGGCCTCAGGTCATAGAGAAGGCAGCCTGGAGAGGGGGTAGGTGGTCAGTGTGGGGGTGCTAAGAGACTCTAGGGTGCAGTGCTCTGGGAGTCAGAGGATGATGCTGGGACCCAGGGATCACCAAGCAGGGAAGAGGCCAGTGGACAAGGACACCTTGGTGACATCTCAGGTGTGCAACCTGGCGCCTTTGAGTGCTGGGTGACCTGGGTAGTGGGTTCATCAACCTGCGCCTCGGTCTCCTCACCTTTGAAAGGAAGGTAAGACACGTCTCCCTGGCTGAGGGGCCCTGCGAATGATCTCAGCCTGCCAGAAACAGGGCCCGGCCAGCGGGCTCACCGGAGAGCTGCCGTCCTGTCCTCCCTCCACCCCTCCCTGTGCCCTGGAGACCACCAGTGATCTTCCAAAAGTGCTGAGGTCCAGACACTGGGTCCCCACCCACCAGAAGGAAAATTCCTTCCTCCTGCCTGACGAGCTCCTGCTCATCCTTTCTGGCCCAGTCCTCTGGCACCTCTTGATGAGCACTTTACTAGTCCTGCATGCAGTCAGTCCGTCCTGCATCAAACAGTGACGCACAGAGCTTGGGTGCAGCCTCTGGGCTGCGGCTCACGCAGCAGAGCTGGCTCTGTGTCCAGGAATTCACCTTCCAGCAAATGTTGCAGCCCACCCCTAAATCTGCATGTGGCTTCCCCCTGTGTCCACACCCGTCCGTTCAGTATCACCAACCCCAGCAAGCGTGATGAAGGCCGGGTGTGTAGGCAGAGGGGTCCATAGTCAGGAAGAGGAAAAGCCTCACTAGGCTTTCTGGTTCATCTTGATTAGAAAGAGCTAGAAGCTTTACTTTTGGAGCCATAAGAAGGAACCTACATCAAAAGACCTGAGGAAGAGCCAAGGTTCAGAGCACAAAAAGAGCCAGATGCTCAAAGCCAAGGTTATTGCCTGTCCACATCTCCAATAAAATGCAAAGGAGACAAAAGGACGGCTGCATAATCTAAAATACAGCTCTTATTTAGTATATAGGGTTTAGATTGCACCACACACGCGCACACACACACACACACACACACACACACACATATACGTTCCTGCTCTAGGGTCACTACATTACCGCACTAGACACACACACCGCCCCACCTAATCACTAACTCAGTCTTGTATGTGCCACTTCTCCCTCCTGACCCACCTATAAATCCCAGAGGTCGGCTGCTGACAAAGACAAGCCAGTGAGAGGAGATCAAGCAAAGCCCACAAGGAATGTGCACACAGACAGCGGCACCTGGGCTCAGGTCCTGTGGCCTGGGGTTTGCAGATGACAGTCCAGAGAGCCACTCAGGTTGTGACAAGTTCCAGGAACTGACCTGAGAGGGACCTCCAAAACCTGGTAAGGAAAAAAAACAAAAGGCTAGAGACAAGGGGAGTCTGTAGGAATCCACTTTTTTATGGGTACCAGGGATCAAACTCACAACCACCTGCTTGTAAGGCAGGCATTTATGCCACTGAGCCAAACCCCCAACCCTGTCTTCCCTTTTTAAAAACTCTGTCCCTTTACCTTGTGACTGGTGCCGAGCTGTGGGGCTTTCTTCATCTTCCTTTTAACTGATGCTACCTTCACAGCCACAGCTGCGGATTTTAAATAGTTTTCATTAAGATTTCCTACCTTTGCAGCCCTATTTTCATTCTTCACTGCAAGAAGAATGTTTTGAAAAGGAAAAAAAAGAAGAGTTTGGGTAGGAGAAGAGGAAAAGTTTGAGGCAGGAGGAAAAGCTTGTGCAAAGGCCAGGAAATAAAATGAGATTAATGTTGCCAGGACAACGTGACTAAGGCAGGAAGTGGGCGGTGGGGCTGGGGAGCGGGTGGGGCCGTCACAGCTTCTCAGGTGCAGAAAGATGGAGGCAGTCAGTCTGTGTTGTAAGTGACCCTCTGGCACTGTGTTATGGACCCTTCATGGGCCACCTTTCTCCACACGTTTCTGTCACCTACCCTGCCTGGAAGCTCTTCTGCTCTCACCACTGTCTCACTGAGCATCACCCAATTTTTCAGGAAAAGTCAGTGACTTCTCTACAAGCTTCTCAGGCCACATGTTTGAGACCTGACCAGACTCACGAATGACGGAGGGGAGGCGTCAGTGGGTTTGGCTTTGATATACTTAGATGCTTAACAAAGCTTGCTCTGCGTGAGTGCTCTCACCAGCCCGAAGACTCACCAGTCGTCAGGGAGCTGGAACAATTCCTGTCATATAACTTGCAAAAAGACCCACACATAGAAAACCATAGAGTTACGACCACATGCAAGTCTCCTGAGTGAAAATCCTTGGCTTTCATTTGTCCATCCAAGCATTCATGCATCCCTCCATCAATCCATGTATGCATCTATCCATCCATCCATCCATCCATCCATCCACTTACCTATCCATCCATCCATCCATCCATCCACCCATCCATCCATCCATCCATCCACACACCCATCCATGCATCCATCCATCCCTCCATCCATCTAGCTATATATCTATCCATCTATCCACCCACCCTCCCATCTATCCATTCTTCCATCCATCCATCTAGCTATTACCTATCCATTCATCCATCCATCATCCACCCACCCATCCATGTATGCATCCAGCCACCTATTCATCCACCCATCCATCCACCCATCTATCCACCTACCCATCCAAGCATCTACTCCGTGCCAGCAACTTTCCTAGGGATTTGAAATATGCTATCGAACAAAATTTATAAAGGCCCTCACCCTTGTGAATGTTTCACGCTAGTAAAGAAAAGCAATCAGCAAGAGGTGTGGTAAAGAAATAAAAACATTTGATGGAGTGAATTGAAACTGGAGGTGTTGGTGCCATTGGGGGAAGTCAAGGTCGACCCTTCTGAGATGACATTCATCACCAAGACAGATTTGATGACTCCACTCTCCAAGGCCTCTGTCACAGAGTCCTCCTGTGCAATTGGGATGACACCTACCCATAGGTGCACTTGATGACCAGGACAAGGAAGAGCCACACCCAGGAAGGCACACACCCAGAGGCAGAGCCCTGGGAGAAAACCCCTAGATGTGCTCCACCTGCCCTTCCCGTGATGCAGGAAGCCTCTGCATGGGTCTGAGTTCAGGGATTTTCTACATCTCAAGCATACGCAGAGTGCCAAGCTTCTGTCTCTCTCCACTCAGCCACAGCACCACCTGCAGGCTAGGCTGATGGGTTGGTAAGGATGATCACAGTGGACAGTTCCTCATTTTTTTCAGTAGCACTAGGATCAAATTCGGGGCCCTTTTACTAAGCTACACCCCAGCTCTTTCATGAGTTTTGTTTTATTTTTGAGAGTGAGACTCAGTAAATCACCAATTGCCCAGACTTGCAATCCTCCACAGCAGCTAGAGTTCTGGGATTGCAGGCATGTATCACCCTGCCTGACGTTTGATTCTCCAAGACCCTGACCGTGTGGTTTAGCCAAATCCCTTCTCCTTGGCAGGCTTCCATCTTCCAATTATGCAATGACAGGGCTGACCTCAGAAGGCTCTTCCACATCTGACAATCTGTTCCACTGCTGCTGGAAATCATGGGACCAGCTCCAAAGCTTCATCTGTGTCATCATTCTTCCAAACTATGATTTACTCTGAATACATTTCCTGAGCATCTCCTGCGTGCCAGGCATGGGAATGCTGGGGTGAACAGGGGAGACAGGGACCCTCTTCTGGCTGAGCTTGCACTGCAGGGCCCGCTCTCTCCATCATCCCAGGGTCCTGTTCATGCCAAGCCAGGAGAGCTTGCCTTGCCCTGCCTGGTGCCCACGTTGGTGCCAAGAATGTACTGCAAGAATGGCCTCTAAACAGAGGTAAACTGAAGACAGCTGTATGAAAATGGATGCACCTTGAAAACCTAATGCTAAGTTAAACAAATCAGACATGCAAGCCAAATACCGCGCCTTGCTTGCTTGCATAATCCAAAGCACAGATAAACAGCAAAAGAAATGATTGATAAAAGGAAACAGGGAAATAGATCTTTGGCAAATGGTAAGGGCACAAGAGACCAAGGGTGGCGTGGGGGATTAAAGATAGATTAAGACACAAGGTATGTGCATATCGACCTACAAGATGTATGATCACCACATGTCCCAAAGGGAAACTGAAACATAACAGGGGAAGGGAAATATAAAGTTTGAAGATATATTCTGCACACGTACCCCGTTCCTGGAGGAGAACAGACTCCATGCAGAGCAGACATGTACTAATACAGACGAATGCAGAGCCGGGCCTTCTCGCCCTTTGGAAACCCGTTCTCCGTTAGCTGTCAGGTCCTCAATTTCACATGCTGCAGAACCGCTTCCGTGATCACGGCTGAATCTCGTCTCTGCTGTATGACAGTTGTTCCTCGGCTTGCCACGGGTTCACGTGTTGATCAGTGAGCCTGTCACACACAGAAGACACCTGACACTCGACACCTGCTGATGTTACAGGGACGCGGTGTCCCTCCCATAGACCCTGCCGTTTCTCTTGCAGTCAGGGCAGGGGTGGGGGGCTGACAGGGAGGCCAGATCACCTGTCCATAACTCCAGGAAAGATGAAAGTTCAAAGTACAGCTTGGGGGGGGGGAATCAAACTTTGCAATTTGAAATACTGAGTGTGTATCAGTTCTGCACCATCATAGTTTCAAAGAAGTGCCACGGAGCCAGTGTCAGTTGGCACCGGAGCGAGACTCTCTCCTCGAGGAAATCAGGAAAATCAAAAGGGAATCGGGGCAGGAAGAACGTTACCCATTGGGGCTCCATGCTACGGGTAGAGATTGTTAGGCGGGAGTTCCGAAGAGTCACCACCGTAGTCAACGAGTCTAAGTCACGGTGGGAATGGTTTGATGCACACGCCTCACCGCCTTTCTCCTCCTTTTCTTTCTCCTTCTCTGCTTCCTCTTTCTTTTTCTTCCTCCTCCTTCCAAATTTTTTTGGGGGGGACCTGGAATTGAACTCACGACCTTACACTAGCCAGGCAGGAACTGTGCCACTGTCCCCAGGCCCTGTTCTTCTAAACTTTTAAGATTCCAAGTTGCGTCAGGTGCACGGCAAAGCTGTGACGACAGCACGCGGTTTCTGCGTGTCCCTTAACAGCATCGTGAGTGTCAGCATCTCCCGGTGTTGTGGGAGGAACATCTCCCTGAGCTGTGGGCTGCCTTTGCATTGTACTAGGTTTTTGTGACATTCTTCCTTTGCTCCAGGACTCTGGTCAGGTTTAGTGACCTTGCCTTTCAAGGGCTTTGACGGGAACCTCCAGGAGCTGGTTTGATGGGAGTTCCCAGCTGGGTCACGTAGTTGCTGGGCAGTAGGTGAGTCAGAGGCTGCCTCAGCCCTTAACCTTCCCCATCTGCGAGGTGGGCATTATAGCATCGCTCCTCAGGGTGTCTGGGGGTGCTAATGATGTAATGAGCACACACACAGGTCCTGGCTGCCACTGGGCTCTCATCCACATCCGTGCAGAGGCCAGGGTGGGAAGGAGCTCCCATGGAGCCTGCCGGGTGGTCCAGCACAGGGAACCATCTAGTGGTTGCTTTCTTTGTTGTGATGTGGACAAAGTAATCACATCCTGAATCAGGCTGGGGGAAGCTCCTTTCTTGGACTGGACTGAATCCCATCTCTCCCACGATGCTGAGAAAAAAACAAACAAACAAACACAAGTCCTCGGGCCTGGGTTCTGTCCAGATCTATCCCCTCCTCCATCCCAGTCCATCCTGGTCCTCAGTGCAGCTCAGGTGACCTCAGCTAGAGCTCAGGCGACCACACTGGAAAAGCTGAGAAACCAGCAATGTGTTGGCAGCAAAAAGGGCCGCAGGAGGCTCTGGGCTTCCTTCTCCACAAAGCGGTCCCGGCTGAGGCCTCTCGACAGTCTGAACGGTGGCTTCTGCTTGTGGTGGCTTTTCTAGCTCGGCTTTGAGGCGCCCGAGCAGCCTCACTGTTTAGAGACAGAATAGAAGACATAAACATAAGTGTAAAAGCCGAAAGACATAAAGATGTAGCCAGATTATAAAAAGGCTATGACTGCCTCCATAAAACCAAAAATGGGACAGGCACATAAAGATGGCAAGGTGGACAAAAGGTTCTGCAGCCAGGAGCAGAGGATTCTAGAAAGCTGCTCCCGCCACGTTGCAGAAGAGGCTCGATGGAGACGGCCAGACCTGGAGGGCCTTGGTGGGCTCTGCTCCTGCGCTGGTGCTGCTCCCGAAGGCTTGGTTTTCTGAGTTTGGGGAGAAGCAGGCCTCTGCTTTCCAGCTGGCCAGAGGCTCCAGGAGCTGAGGTGCTCGGGGGTGCTGTAATAGTCAAGGGTGTCTCGCTGGGGGAGAGACTGAGGTACGGGCGGGTGGGGTGGGGATGGAGCACCCAGACCTCCCCTCTAGAGTCTTCTCATCTTTCCTGGAAGCTCTGACCGGGAGGCTCTGAGGAGGGCCCGAGTTTACATACTGACAAGAACCCAGTTGACCAAGCTTGGGAAATTCCAGACTTATGGGTCACGGTCATTGGGTCGCCTCCGTGATTCCAGACTTATCGGTTACTGTCATCGGGTCGCCTCCGTGCAGGGTCATCGATTGCCGGGCTCCTGGGTGGGGTCAGTCAACAGGCCTGGCCCTCAGGTTCCGGCTCTCTCACGCCCTCTTCCACCTTCACATTTCTCTGGGATCTTCTCCCTCTGGCTCCCTGTGATGTGCCGGTCACCACCCCTGCCTGCCCCGGGGGAAGCTGAGAGAGGCCAGGCTGTCTGATCGGGGAGAGATACTGGTGGGGGTGCTCAGCAGGGGCGAGGCAGGCTTCCTGCGGGACTGGGCAGGCTGGCGTGGGTGACGTGGGGCTGGAGTGGCAGAGGGCAGGCGTCACAGGTGAGGAGTGGGGGGTGGCCCGTGATGGTGCAGAACAGGGACAGAAAGGACAGGACTGCCTTCCCTTCATTTTATAGCACTTAGTGGTTGTTTAAATTTAGGTACAGTTTCTGTGGAGTGAATCACGTGGTGTCTTTAAGCCTGTTATTTCTTAACACCTTTTTCTGCTCTACACGGCCACCCCTTTTCCTGTCTAGGACCCCAGATGTTAAACTGTCGCTGGGTAGGTTTCCAAGCTGATGAGGCCCCGGGAGGAACAGACTTACCATCTTTGGTGACAGGAAGAAAATCATTTCGGATTGCATCAGTGACCAGATGAGACAGAGTTAGAGAGTAAGCAACTTCAGCCTGAGGAGCTGCGAGGGCACATTTCTTTCTTTTCCGGGACTGTGGCTTGAACCCAGGGTCCCTGCACGGAGCTGCATCCCCAGCCAGCTTTCTACTCTTTATTTTGAGACACTAAGTCATTAAGCTAACCAGGCCAGAAGGAACTTAGGACCCTCCTGTGTCAGCCTATCAGAAAGCTGGGATTACGCACACCATGCCTGGCTGTAAAGGGGTCACGTTTCCGATAGAGAGGACCAGACTGGCCTGTTCCCAGAGGAGCAAAGCCAGTGAACTAGTGGAGGCTGGCCTGGGTCTGATTGGTCACCATTTTCATTCTGGTTTTGCAAGATGGTGCTGGGAGAAACTTTTACCACCAAGGGGCAATTCAGGCTGCGGACCTCTGCTCACGGTTTCTGTCTGAGACAGCTCCAGTTTAGCAGAGGCCCCATCGGAACCCCAGGTGACTGTAAGTTTAGGCAGTGACAGAGACTGCTGGGCACAGCTGAACGCCCTGTAAAACCCCTTAACTTGGTGTCCTCAATCTTGAAGAGGAGGTGCAGGTTAGGTAAATTCAAGGCTGGCCGACAGATTTTGCAGTATTTAGACAGACACTACTCAAGTGAGTAGGATGCTGCGTGCAAAGCTGGATCTGCCCACGTTTTTAAGGTTAATAAAATGAAGGTTGAGGTTTGTTCTGCTTTTCAGTTAGCACTGGGCATCTATTAGCCCAAATGAAGCATCACTTTTTGGGGGGTATCAAAGACCACTTTCAGGTTCTCAGCTGCCTTAGGAGGAAACAGAATTGCGTTCTTCATGAGTAATAGGTGAAGGACCCAGGAGTTTTGTTTATCTTTTTATTCTTTGTTCCTGTGGTAGTCATTAGGGTAAAACCACTTGGTGTTTTCCTGCAAGTCTACTGGGACTATGTTATTTTTTCTCATCCATCTCATCTATTTTATTTTATTTTATTTTCCAGCGTGCTGCTTTCAGCTTAATCTGTTCCCACTGATACGTTTTCAAGAGCACTGATCTTTTCTTCTATAGTATTAGGTTGCTCTTAAATTTGTCTGGTGAATTTTAAATTTAAGATGTTGAATTTTTCCTCTCTTGAAGTTCAGCAGTTCAGGCTGTCCTTGAGCTCATTTTGTAGCCCAGGCTGGTCTCGAACTCGCAATGATCCTCCTGCCTCAGCCTCCCGAGTGCTGGGATTATAGGCATGAGGTTCATGACCTTGATTCTTTCCACAACTCAGGTCACAAACTAAATCAGATGAGAACGGAATCAAATTCAACAGATCGATTCAGTGTTGAGTTTCTGAGAACAGTGGATAGAACCCAGGACTTGGTGTGTGCTGGGCAAGGACTCTACAGAGCTACACCCCCAACTGAGTTTATGAAGAAACTGGATTCACTTCTCATCCAGCTCAGTTTGTGACTAGAACTGTGGAGAGATTTGAGTTCATGAACCAAAGCATTACTTAGTTTTATTTATCTTACATTAAATCGACAGCCCCCCTCTTTAAGTAGATTTGGCTGGGCATGTTAAAGTCCTTGCTGGCTCATTTCTAAAATCAGTCTTTGTGGGCCTATTTCTATTGCCTAGTTTTGCTCCTGGCCATGGGTAACATTTTCCTGTCCTTAACTATCAAGCGATTTTGGGTTAGACGCTGAGCCTTGTAACCTCACAACACCGTGGTCCAGGGTGGTTGTTTTCCTTTACAGTGCGGTGATGTTTGTTTTTGACCTACTACCAGGTTCCTTGAAGATCCACTTGGTTCCATCAAGGCACATTTTTGAGCTTTGCTGGGGTGTGTCTAGTGTAACTTTAAAGTCAAGTCAGTTCAGCACTGATGACAATAAGTGATATTTCTGGGTCTGTCCACGTTAGCCACAAAATGAATGTCCCCATGCTGTGTGACCTGCTGTGCACAGAAGTCCTGTGTTTTAGTTTGTGTTTATGAATCTTAGACTAGCCACGGGGAAGCTTACCTCGCACACCCAGAACTTAGCACTTAGCCGTAGCCACAAGCAGACTCTATGCACGTTTCTGCAGCTCTGTAGAATTCTGCCACGAAATTCAGCTTTCTCAAACTTCCATGTCTGTCTCCTGAGCTCAGGAAACCTTCTATGTCTCCTCCTTTTCCTTTCTGTGCCAGAAAGTGCTTTGGCAGAGAAGTGAAATAATCAGAAGGCTAACGTATTTTGTTTCTCTTTCCAGCCTATTGTCTAATGTCTGAACTATTTCATGTGATTTTCTTTGCTTTTGTTTTTTGGGGTTTTTTGGGGGGGGGGCAGAGAATGATGCAGAGTCTTGATATGTAGTCCAGGCTGGCTTGAACTCACCATGTAGCCCAGAATGGCCTCAAACTCACAGCAATCCTCCTGCTTCAGCCTCCGAAGACCTGGGATTATAGGTATGTACCACCACATTCTGCTTTTATATTTTTCAATGCCACAATTATTTCATATATTGTCCCCTGGTTTCTCTTATCTGTTTATAATTATTGATAGCTCCAAGATCAGTTGCTCTGTTTTGGATAAATATATAAGTCACCTGAAACGATATCTGTAGATGCCTTAATAGGTACAGAAATCCACATCACCCTGACTCAAAAGAATCCTTCCTATTCATTTTCAATCACGATCTCGTCCCACAGGCAAAGTATTTGTTTTCTTTCGTTTCAGTTCATTCATTCATCAGACACTTACAGGACCCACAGTACTGGTCACACACACAGTGGGTGAGCAGGGAAAACAAGCTAGTCAGGTCCTCTGATTCAGGAACTGGGCAGTCTCATAAATAAGCATGAAATTATGGCAACGATACGTTTCACTCGGAGGCTGACGGCAAAAGACCTTCGGTAGAGCCGGGCGTGGTGACACACGCCTGTAATCCCAGCCCTCTGGGAGGCTGAGGCACTTGCAAATACAGTGAAGCCAGGACAATTACTGACTTCCTGAGAGCTCATCTCCAAAAGGAAAACAATGGGTTCGATCCCCACTAACAAAGCAAAACAAAACAACAAAAAGCAATTAGTAGGAGGAATTTTCCCCATCTGAGTGGCACGTTTCTCATGGCAGTTTCCATGGGAAAATTGTATGAGCCAGGTCTTAAACAAGGAATAGGCATTAACTCAGGAGAAACTGGAAGAAAGAGGTGGGAAGAACACTCTAGAAACAGAACAGGAATGCTACGTGAGCAGCCCTAACACAGACATAAGGTCCTGACAGAGGAGGCAGGAGCCAGGGCCTCTGATGCTTCCTGGAGCCCAGGGGCCATCAATAGGGCCGGGGGCCGAATTCAAGGATTCAGGGTTCACTCTGAACCATGGGAGGCTATTGGAACATCCAAAAATAGGTACTTGACCTGGGTTGGGTTTTAAAAGATTAGCTGCCCTTTGCAGAGAGAGTAGGGTTCCAGAGACCTGCTAGAAGGTTTTCAGGGTTGAGGCAGGAGGCCGTGACAGTCTAGCTAATCTTCTGGTGGGAGCTGGGAATTTAAGATACAGCTGCTGGAATGACCCCCAGGGGCCACCAAAGAGGGGAAAGCTGGAAGAGGTTTTGCAGTGACTCTGGGGAGACGGCCTGTGGGAAAGTCTGAGTTCACCCGGGTCACAGGGCAGGCATCAGGATTTATTTATAAACTCAGGAGGAGCTGACGGGCAGGCAATTAGCGAGGGAGTTCAGCGGGCAGGCTGGCACGAGATGAAGCCTCGGTGCCGTCTGTGTGTTTTAGAGAGGAAGCCGCCGTGGGTGTGGTGAGACCAGCTGGGACGGCAGAGCCGAGGCAGGTAACCCAGTGGAGGCCTGAAGACATATAAGGCCAGGGCCAGGGTGGCGGAGGAGAGGACCCTGGGCACGGAGCAGGCGGAGCAGCGGAGGGGTGAGAGGGAGCCTGGAGCCGAAGGGAAGGGAAGGGCTGCATCGGGAGCCCGGTGGCCTCAGCCCGGTGGCCGCGGCTGGGAAGGAAGGGAGATGAGCATCAGGTCCACGGGTCCCTGGCTTTAAACCTGGGGGTCAGGTTTCTGTGGGTGCAGAGCCAGGTGGGCAGAGGAGGGGAAGCTATGGAGGCTGTGAGCACCGGGGTACCCAGCCGGATCTGCGGAAGGAAGCCCCTGGGAACGAGAGGGAAGGGATGCTTCTTACTGTTTTGACTCTGGAAAGCACCAGTTTGTCCAACAGAAGCAAGACCTCAATACGTTTAAAAGCCCAGAGCAACACTGAGGGGGGCGCTCAGCGTGGAAGAGAGAGAGAAGGGTGGAGATGGTGTTTCACAGCCTGGAGGGGCTCGAGGGACGGAGGGGCGGGTGCCTGGGAGCAGGGATTTGTGTTCTGCAGAAACAGAGGCAGCTCGTTCTGTGTCTGAAGGTTCCCACCCTTATGAGGTAGGACGAGGCTCTCTGCAGGGAGGAGATGCACGCGCATGGTGTGTGTGTGTGTGTGTGTGTGTGTGTGTGTGTGTGTGTGTGCAGGCATGTACCTTGTGAAGGAAGTAGAGAGACTGAGCTTTGCTCTGCAGTCAGGGGGAAAGCGAGTCCATGTCTTACCAGGTGGATAGAGATTGGACATCGGATCCCACTGATTAGGGGCCACTTCCCCAGAAGGGACAGCTGGGTGGGTCCTACCCAGCCGGGAGTGTGCAGAAGGGATGAATCACAGACGGATGCCCTGCAGCTCCAGGGCCCTGGAAAGCAACAAAGCCTTTGACACCCAAGTCAGAAAAGGCGCAGAGGATGGTGCTGGGAGACCAAGCTGGGGACAGGGCAAGGTGGCACAGGGTGGAGGACCCGCACACCAGGAACCTGGCTCTTCCCTGGGCCTGTGAAGTGCTGCAGAGGGGATGAGAAGGAGGCAGTGACACACAGGGTGTGCACTGAGAAGCTGTCCTGTGCAGTGACCAGGGAGCGGGGCTGGAGCTGCCCCTGAGCAGTGGGCGGGTGAGAGACAGGGCCAGGGGGGCCAAGGCCACCCAGCTGACAGGAACCAGGGATGACCCAGAGAGGTAAGAGCCTGCCATCACCCTGAGGGTGGAGCTCATACACATGCAGGCCCCACAGCAGGACAAGGACCACCACAGGAGAATGGGAGGTTGGGTTCTAGAGCCCACCAAGGGAGCCATTGCCAGGATTTTCTGAGAAAGCGCCCCTGCTGTGGCCCTCCTTCCAGATGTGTCTCTTTCTTTGAGACACAGTCCCCGCAGCCTGAAGCTCAGCACTCAAGCCCTCCCACGCTTTCTTCTTTTTGCTCCCCAGGAATCCAGTTGTGCACAAGCTGGGCCTCTGTTACGTTATTTCCTTTCATTTCCACCTTGCTGTCTTCAGTCTGGGTGGCCCTTATTGATTTGTTTTCAGGAGTGTTGACTGATCCATTGCTTCCTAGGCAGTATCAGGTTTGTTCTCAAACCCAGCTGGTGACTTTGAGGCTGGGAGGGGAATGTGACATCTGATTGGACCAACATCAGGCACTACAGTCATGGAGTGCACGGCCCCTGCAGACCCTGACGTGTCACAGCAGCCCCCAGGCCCTGCCAAGTGTGCTGCAGACCCCACCTCAGTCCCACTGCCGGTCTCACCTTCCTGGTGGTGGCCCCGCCCACATTCCTTCATGTGCTGTCCCCTGCCTTATGGCTTGACTGCCGGGGCGGGTGAGGGCCAGAAGCAGGTGCATCGCGCAATGAAGGAGGCTGGTGGCTGCAATAAAGAAGTATGCCCTCCACCTAGGTGCTGCTCTGTGCCAGCTCCCAGCAGACCAGGCCCCTGCCCATGGCCTTCTGTTTCCTCTGTCTCTCTTACCAACCCCTGCCTTGTGACTGGCTGCTCTAGTGCTGGGGTCCTGCTTCACACAAATGTCTCTCTTCTGCTCCTCAGAGCTGTCCTCCTCTCATCCCCGCTGGCCCTCACCATGGCCTAAACTCTCTTCCTTGCTTTTCCTCTGTACTCTGTGTGTAAGTCAGTTTTCCACTGCTGTGACGAAATGCCCGAGAAAAGCAACTTGAAAGAGGAAAGGTTTACTTGGCTCATGGTTTCTGAGGTTTTGGTCCATGGTCTCCTGGCTGCATGGCTTTTAAAGGAAAGGCAAAGTAGAACATCGTGACAGCAGAGCAGATGAAAAGAGGAGGCTGCTGACCTTGGGGCACCCAGGAAGCAGAAAGGGGGAAAAAGCTCCAGGAGCAAGCATGGCCTTCAAAGCCATTCCTCTGGTGACCCACCTGTTCCAACTAGGCCTCCTCCAGAAGTTTCCATCACCTCCCAATAGCATCATTAGTTCAGGCCAAGGCTTCAATATGTGGGCTTTGAGGAACATTCCAGACCCAAAGTATAATGTCCTGTTTGCTTTTTTCAAGTCTCAGTCAGTTGCCACGTCCCCTGGAAGCCTTTCTTGTCATGGGAACAAGTCTGCTCAGAGTTCATACTTGTCCACCACATCCACTCTCCATACCTAGTGGCATTTGCTGATCGCCCAACAGCCCTTCAGGGACCAGGACCCTCCAGTCTGTCCCCTGCTCACACAGAGCCTTGCCTAGGCCTCCACATGTGTACCTGTCAACCCAGGGCCCTGGATGCTTGCAATCCACATTCTGAGAACTCACAGACCATAGACAGACATGCATGGCCACTGGCCATCTGTCTGATGATAAAGGTCTAGCCACCTTTCAGGTGTGGGGGAAGAGAGGAGAAAAAGAGAACTCAGGTCACCTATCATGCACATCAGAGTTAGGTGCAAGCCCCAGCCTGTCTTCCTGGAGTTTCTAACTGCCATGAGGCCTTCAGTCTTGTTAAAAGAAAAGTTACAACACAACTGGTTTTGCAGCTCTTCGCTGGCTCTAATTGTAGCTATAGAATTGATCTGCAATCTGAACCAAGAGTGGTTCAAAATTATTTCATGTGGGCGGGTTTAATTAATAAGAAAAGGAAGTAATATATGGAAAACAGAAGCAAGGTACAGAGACATCTGGTTTGGTCACAGCTTATTTGAATCTTGTTTGAATATGGTTTGGACAGTTGGCAGCTTGTGATTGGCTGAGACTCAGCCATTTGTTACAAGTCTTCTTACCTACTAAGTTAGATTGCAGTTCGCTACGTATGGAGAAACTACTGGGCCAAACTTAATTCAGTTTAACACTTTGAAATCTCCCTGGTGCCCAAGTCTTGCCAGATAAGGATTGAGAGGGGGCAGGGGCAGGCAATTGTGGTTGGAGCTGAGTCTCCAACCTGGGGCCACAACTCCATGACAGATGCTTGCTCTAGGGATCCGTTTGGTGACAGACACAAACACACCCAGAAATGCCTGTGTTCTAGACAGGCAGTCAGAGTGAGAAAATGACATAACAACAGCAAAGATCATGAAAAGGGGGATCTGAGACCTGATTTTGAATTCCAGGCAGCACACAAGCCAACCTGGTGACCTGGGATAAGTTACATGTCATACCCTCTCAGGTGCCTCTACAACCAACCCAGTAATGACCTATTTTGTGGGCTTACCTGGGTTTTGAACAGGATTCCACTGGAGAGCTGTCAGTTGGTAATGTGTGGCATGTGGAAGGGTCCCTGCCCGGACCCTAGCTTACCTCTCCTCTGTGGTTCTGTTTCCTGCAGACTTATTTTGTTTCCAAATGGCTTCTTCCCTTTATCATCTCCTCCTTTTTGTTGGTCTCTGGACTGCCATCTACTGCAAGCCCCCATCCGATCCCCACAGCAGAGGGTCTCCACGCCCTCCCTCTGCCAAGGACAGCCCTGCCTCCCTGGTGTCTTCTGGCAGTACCAACTTTGCCTTCCACCTGTACCGGAGACTGGCTCTGCACAGCCCGAGCCGGAACGTCTTCTTCTCCCCCGTGAGCATCTCCACGTCCCTGGCCATGCTGTCTCTGGGGGGCTACTCAGCCACCAAGGCTCAGATCCTCAGGACCCTGGGCTTCAACCTGACAGTCACACCAGAATCCGCCATCCACCAGGGTTTCCAGCACCTGGTCCATGCACTGAATGCCCCCAACACAGAGCTGGACTTGAGGATGGGCAGTGCCCTCTTTGTCAAAAAAGGGCTACAACTTCAGGCAAGTTTCCTAGACAGAGCCAAGAGGCTGTATGGGTCAAAGGTCTTTTCCATGGATTTCTCCAACGCCTTCAGTGTCCAGAGGATCAACAGATATGTGGAAAAGGAGACCAAAGGAAAGGTGACAAACTTAATCCGAGACCTTGACCCTCTGACAGCCATGGTCCTGGTGAACCACATTCTCTTTAAAGGTAAGGATCTGTTATGCTCTTTTGTTTGTTTGCTTAGTCAAATATGGAAGCCAGACAAGTCCTAGACAGCAAGGCGAAGCTGTGGGAGGGCTTGAGCTCTAATTGGCCTTGCAACAAGCTGGCTGGAAACCCTTGAGTATGTCACACACTCTCTGCCAGTATCCGTTTATCAATCAGGAGAGAGGCTCAACCGTTAGATAGACAGACTGGGCATCCCAAGTGGCTGATGTTTAGTTTAGTAGGCACCATCCCCTACCCCCAGAAAAGTCTTCTGGTGATTAGCTTGTGAGAAAGTTTAATCACACACCATCAGCAACTGTCACACAGAGGTTCTAGAGGAGTGACATGGAGCTCTCTGAGCAGAGGGTAGCTCATTCCTTTTGCATGACTGAGTGGGTGTACAACAAAGACACTCTGTACTCCCTGGGCTGGGTTATGGATACTACTGTATCATTCTTACCTTCCTTCTTCTCCCATTCCTTTCTCCTTCTCTCCGTGTACCCATCAGCCCATTTGTCCATCCTCCAGCTCATCCATCCTATTCATCTGTCCAGGCAGCCAGCCAGGCATGCGCCCTTTAACCTCCTCATCTTTCTGTCCACCCTCTGTCTTAGTTACTTTAATACCTGATGCCCAAGTTGGGAAAGGAAAGGTTTATTTCTTACAGTTTTTGGAGGTTTCAGTCCACACTCAGTTGGCTCCAAGACAGGCAGGCATGGCTGGACCGCCGTTCATGGCGGCTGCAAACAGCAAAGAAAAAGAGAAGAGACACACCTTCTTCCTGCCATTACATCACATCCTGGCTCCACCCCTTTGTGGGTGGAGCACTGACACCATCAATCCAAGCACTATACAATGAACCATCACAAATGCACAATTCAAACTCATGAGGCCTGGGGGACACAAACATAAACCATGACATTCCACCCCTGGCCCCCAGGACTCATGTATATCCTTTATGCAAAAGACATTTAGTCCACCTCCAAGAGTTTCAAAGTCCTAAGTTTCAGCATTGCTGAACAGTCCAAGTCCCAAGTCTCCTCCAAGATAGATCTATGGCAAACTCTTAACTGTAACCCCTATACAAATGAAACAAGGTTAAACATTTCTGAAATACAAAGGCACAAGATAAACACTACCATTCCAAAAGTTACAAACAGGGGAATATAAAGCATTGGAAACAAAGCAAGTCCATGATCCAGCAGGACGAACATTAAGTCCTAGAGTTCCATGCTCAGCATCTGAAGCAATCTGGTTGCAAGCTCCAAAAGCCTTGGGTGACTCCACCCCCAGGGCACTTCCAGCAATTTAAACTCCCGCAGCTTTTCTCTTAAATCTTCTCTGCTCGCTTTTTGCAGCTTTCCTTGGATCATCCACATTCCTGGCTTTTCCAGACTTCTGGGGTCTCCACTGTACCTTTGGCTTCACACTTACATCTTCACAAATTGCCCTCTCAGGAGCACACTGCTTGGCCAGCCAGGCCCTTTGCAATCGAGGTGGAAGCCGTTTTACCCTCAGAATTCGTGCATCTTCCTTGCACCTAAAATCAGCACCTCGTGGATGCCACCAAGGTTTGCTGCTAGCTGAAGCAGTAGCCAGGCTTTTCTCTCTCTTGGCTGTAGGGGTCAGTTGCCTGGATTGCAGGGCTCTGTTTACCTGATTGTGATGAAAAGCTTCTCTGTGTTGCCACCATTCTGTAACCTCACGTGGCCTCTGTCGCCATTCTGGGAACTCACATGGCCTCTGTCACCATTCTGGAGCATGGCACTCTGCAGCTTTTTCCTCTGAGCAAAAGTTTTCATCTTTGCTATGAGGCTGCACAGGGTGGGCACTGCTTCCTGGGATGCCCCGGGGCCATCTTTCTTATCTCTCTGTTTCTCCTCAGGAATCAAAATCTCAACTCTGTCTTTACAATCCACACCCTTTGTGGAATCTTCCTTCGGGCCAAACTCACAGTATTGGAAATTATCCTGCTTGGCTTTTTGCTCCTGATTTGAAACATAAAGCTGGCTAAAAGCCCCCAACAATAGCCATGCCACAGCCTCAATGTTCGATTGCTTTTTAATTTCTTTTTCAAGGTTAATCAGTCCATTGCCCTTTGTCTCAGTCTCAGGCAAAGTCTCTGGGCAGGAGCAAAATGCAGACAAACTTTCTGCCAAGCCATAACACACATCATGTGGAGTCCAACAACCAATGCAGTCCTTACCAGCAGAAACCTCCCAAGCCTGGTCTTTACCATGAGGCTTTCTATCATTAGCCTTCTGGTCTCTTGAGCTCTGACCAGAATGTCCTCTACAGAACAGCCTAAGCTGCTCCAGCTCTATGCATCCAGGCGACATGTCCAAACCTTTCCAAACTCTGCCCACAAGCCATTTCCAAAGCCTCTCGAAAAACATGGTCAGGTATAGTCACAGCAAATGACCCCACTCTTCAGTACCAAATTTCTGTCTTAGTTACTTTATGCTCATCGCTGAGACAAAATACCTGATGCCCAAGTTGGGAAAGGAAAGGTTTATTTCTTTGGAGGTTTCAGTCCACACTCAGTTGGCTCCAAGACAGGCAGGCATGGCTGGACCGCCGCTCATGGCGGCTGCAAACAGCAAAGAAAAAGAGAAGAGACACACCTTCTTCCTGCCATTACATCACATCCTGGCTCCACCCCTATGTAGGTGGAGCACTGACACCATCAATCCAAGCACTATACAATGAACCATCACAAATGCATAATTCAAACTCATGAGGCCTGGGGGACACAAACATAAACCATGACACCCTCTGTCTATCTATTCCTGCATTTACCAAGCTACCCACCCATTTATCTATCCCTGCCATAAAAAGATAGCATATTTTGCTTCCTTCCTAAGTTACCTTTACTTTTTATATGTTTTCCTATTTAACTTAATATTATTGAAGTGTTTTTTACTTCCCATAACATTAACCAACTTAAAGTGTGCAATTTAGTGATTTTGGTTTTTAGTATATCCACGAGATTGTGTTACTGCACTACAGTACTATGAAACCTATTTATCCCCTCAAAAAGAAGTCCCTTGCCTATATTCCAATTTGACCAGCTCAGAAAGAAAACTGATGCTTAAAAAATGACAGGAATAATCATTCCCAACCTGCTGTTTCTCTCATGCCTGTAATCTACTTTACTGCCCCTGCCACCTCTAATCTGCTGCAGAGCCTCCCCTGTGAATTTTTCATTTCAATTATTGTACTTTTCAACTCTAGGATTTTTCACTGGGCACTTAAAAGGCAATTTCTCTTTATTGATATTCTTTATTAGACATGTCATCATTGTCATACTTCCCTTTAGATACTTACGTATGATCTCCTTTAGCTCTTTGAGTAAGTTTTGAAGAACTGGACAAAGAAGGCCAACATCTGCAATTCATGGAGAACCATTTTTATTGTTTCCTCCCACATGTAGGACATACTTTCTTGTTTTATTTCACAGCTTTTTTTCATTAAGCTGGCCATTTTAAATAATGTAATACAGCTACTCTGGAAATTGGCTTCTCTCATTTCCAAAGGTGGTTGTTGCTGCTTACTGTAATTACTGTTTTTTGTTTGTTTGCTTAGTGATTTTCTCTGAACTCATTCTTTAAAGCCTGGGCTTTCTTATATGTGACTGCTGAAGCTCTTTCTTGGTTAGTTATGTGATAAGTTCTGATACGACAGAGACTTTTTAAATCTCTGAAACGAATCTCTCAATCTTTGCTGATTGGGTCTCTGTGTATATGATGGATCTTGCCATGGACACTCAGCAGAGGAGTCTACAACTGTCTTCACTTTTCTGATTGTGCAGACTCCCAAGGTCAGCTGAAGGTGAGAGCTGACAGCCTTGGCTGAGAGTTAATGAACACGCATCCAGCCTCATTGTGGGCTCAGGATACGTTCGAACTTTCAAAACTTTCAAAGTTAGAACTTTCCAAAGTTTTGTGGACAATTTATTCCTTAATCTTTTATTTTCAATTCTTTGGTTAGTCTCTTGTTTGTCTTATCTGTTCTCTGTCAGCCAGCAGATATGAAGTTAAAACACCTGTCTGTAATTGTGTTTGACAAATATTCCTACATTGCCACAAAGAAATCTCCAATCAGATGTGTGAGTGAGGGCTTTCCAAGAACCATCAGATACGTTCAGTAACAATAAATTTTAGTCATTAAGCTATGAAAATGCTCCAGCTCTAGTCTTCTGCTTGTGGTATCAAGAACACAGACTACTATTTTTCAAGGCTACTGCTACCTTGAGGAAGAAAGAAAGGGACTGGTGCCAGCTAAAATGCCAAAAAGCTGGCTGTTTGCATCAAGATGCTTTCAATTTCTTCTTGAGCAAACTTCCCCCAGTTTGCTTTAGTTAATTTCAAGAGCTCTAAACATGCTGATTCTGAATTTTTTTCCCTAGTTATGCTAAGGGAAGGGTAAATATGCAAAGGTCATTGCACTGTCATTGTTGATGTAACCACCTTCCTGCCCTGTTTGTCTTTCTAACCTCTTTGGTTAGTATACAGCTTGTTCTAGATGTCATTTTCAGCCTGAGGCAGCTGCAAAATGTATCACTCCTGTAGCTATTTTGGAAAATACTCTCTGGGGAAATGGATTTTTTGCACTGGCCAAGTTTGGAAGCAGGTCAAACACAGCTTCACAAGTAACACTTTCTGGGATAGCACATATTGGTCAAATGTGACAATTCTTTGGGAATAAAATTGTAAAGGGCTCTGGTCACATCTTTTTCGTCCACTGGCCACCAGTCTGCTGGATTTCCATGTAAGTGTGGGATGTTATCTTTCAAAACCATTGCAGACCTGGAGAATATAATATGGGACTAGGATAAACTTAAAAAACCATGAAATTTATTATCTTTACCAAAATTCTGCTATTTGAATTCAGTAATTTGTTCTCTAGTTGCCTATAAGCATTTGGTTCTAAATACCCTGGCATTTCTTTATGTCATGTAATTCATATCCTTTTCATGCCCCCCTTAATAATTACAGAACTAATGATGTGACCATTAATTTAGTTCTAATTATCCCGAGTTCTAAAGAAGTTAATGCTGACCCCGGTTTTGCAATGTTTCATTGCTTTTGTGGAGAAAGGAGTTCTCAGAGGTCCTTATCTGTCCCCCTTTTGTGTCTTCACCCCACTAATCGCACTTAGACAAAATGCCCTCTCTTTTCTTTGTGCTAGCCAAGTGGATGAAGCCCTTTAACCCTGCAGATACCCACAGAAGCTTCCCATTTCTGGTGGACAAACAGACCACCGTGCACGTCCCCATGATGCAGCAGATGGAAACTTTTGCTTTTGGAGTAGACCCCCAGCTGAACTGCTCTGTGCTGCAGATGGACTACAAGGGGGACACCAGGGCCCTCTTTGTCCTCCCTGGTGAGGGCCGGATGCGGCAGCTGGAAAAGGCGTTGTCAACCAGGTTGCTGCGAAGGTGGAGCCACTTACTCCAGAAGAGGTGGGCATTTGTGAGGAGGATCATGGTAACGGTTCTTAAATAATCAGTCCTACAAATTGAGCACCTATTGCATGCCGGTCAGTGAGCTCGGTACCGTGCGTATATGTTCACACCTGAACACCACCGAAACTGTCGCTGGTAATCGAGGGGTATCATCATCTCCTCCTCTCTCCACATTTCACAGATAAAAACATAGTGGTTTCTTGAGGGTAGGTGAATTGCCCAGGGTCACATCACCTCAGAGTGTTCCTATCACGTAGCTACCCTGTGCTAACAGAGTGCACTCCAGAAGCCAGGCCATTATCCACTTACGAGGGAGGATTTTGTAAAAGCAAACAGACAAACAAGAAACACGTTAGTCTTCACTTACAAAATCAGGATGATAATAATAATATTGCTGTGTGCATCGTTGGTGGTGGAAAAGATAAAATGTTAGTATCTATAGAGTACTTACACCGGAAGCGTAGTCAGTCAATGTTAGTTAATGGTCACATCATTAGTTCTGTAATGATTAAGGGAGGCATGAAAAGGATATGAATTACATGACATAAAGAAATGCCAGAGTCTTATTTTTACTTCTGAGCAACACTTTCTCGGCAGCAACAGCATCACTCTGAGGTGTTTGTACCCTAGGAGTAGAAAGATAAGATTGACAATAATTATCATTAAAGAACGACAGTGGCCCTTGTCTGGGGGAGGGCAGGCAAAGTGTGGGAGGAGCTCCTGAGCAGAGGACAACCATGGTCAGCAGGGACTTCGGGAGGCTTTCAGGAGGGGGTGACAGCACCTCAGTTAACTTTAAGGAGCTCAGTGGTTAACGGAAGCACAGGAAAGCGTGGAGTTAGAGGGGCGTGTTTAGTAAGGGAAACACAGGAAAAGACGTGCTTCGAGGCACCCAGAGCCTCTGCCAGCCACTAACAGCAGTTTCTGCTCACCGCAGGCTGTGCAGGCCGGGGTTGGGGGGAAGGTGGGGAGGCAGCGGGGGCTGTGTGGAGGTGGAGCTCAGAGAGACTGGAGATGCCAGATAGGCACCGGGACACTGAGGACAAGAGGAAGCTGTCCCTGGTGTCCGAGAGGTTTTCCAGACAGGGCTGAAAAGTGTGTCTGGCAAACTTTCCTTTTTGTTCTGGGACTGAGCTTTCCCAGCTGGGAGTGAGAGGCGACTCTTGCTGCTTCTGCCTGGGACAGAGTGTGGGTGCAGCTTTTCTCTTGTGCTGGCCGTGTTTCTGCTTGCTCGGGTTGCCCAGCCTGGCTGCGGGTGTCACATCGGGCGGCACAGGGAGAGGAATATTCCCGGTGGTGCAGTGTTCTCTTGGCCTTGGCTCCTCGGAGGGTTAGCAGGGCTCAGGAAGGGCTGCTGGGATGGCACCCAGCAGGCGGTACAGACGAGATCCCATCGCCCTCTCCTGCCTTCCACTGGTCTCTGCCTTGGACTCCGTTACTGGGCCACCTTCTCACTTCTGTTCCCTGCTTCATTAGGGACCCTGCTGGTCTTCTTGTGTGGCTTTGGTGCTGGGCTTGCTTGGCTGGGAGATGGGCTGGGATAAGCGGGCCCCTTTCGGAATCTGACATCTGGAGGAAGAGCGGGGTCTCCTGAGAGAGCTGGAGCTTTGCCCTCACCTTTTCCCCTCTCCCTTCTCCACAGGCAGATAGAGGTCTTCATCCCCAAATTTTCCATTTCTGCCTCCTACAACCTGGAAACCATCCTCCCAAAGATGGGCATCCGTGATGCCTTTGGCAAGAATGCTGATTTTTCTGGAATTACAAAAACAGGCTTTCTGCAAGTTTCTAAAGTGAGTTGGTGGGGGAGATTATTTCTAGAAAGCCCACACTGGAAACACCCATAGAATTGGTTGGTGGAGAGTGGAAGGCTTTCCTTTCATTTGAAACAGAGGCCCATGCCCATGAGGTAAGAAGATTTCTTGATGGCCTGTAGAAAGGGCTGTGGCTCTGTGGCCACCAGGCCTCTGGCCCAAAGGCACCTCTCACCCTTCTTCAAACAAACAGGCCTGACTGTGGCTTTGCCTTGGGCATTTGACCATGTCCTTCCTCCCCACAGACGCCCTCGAGAGGCTGCCCGTGACCATGGTAGCCATGGCATTTGGTCTTCAGGGCTGAGAAGGGGACAGAGGTTGGGGAGGGGAGACAGGGAGAAGGAGGGAGGGGAGGGGAGGGGAGGGAAACACAGAGAGAGAGGTGTCACTGAGTTTATTTCCCCAAGGTAACAGTGAACCCAACCCCAACACTGCCGCCTGTCACCAGGGCTGAGCTGTGCCATCTTTTGGTGACTACGTGCTGCATGCCCTGCAGGACTCCCCATCTCTGGGGCTGACCTGCCCTTGTCCACATGCATCCTTCCGACCCTTGACCTGAAGTTTTCATTCAATAACGGATCATAGTGGTCAGTAGTGGTCTGGGGCACAGAAGAAACTTTTACCATCGGCCCCCAGGGAGGGAGTCCCAGTAGAACACAATGAGCAGAATGGACCTTTCCCCCAAAAGGGAGACTCATGTGCCCCTGTGGAAAATCACACCTGTGGTCACACAGTCCCCACCCCTGAAGCTCAGGAGCACGTGAGTCCCAGGTCGGGAGCCTCCTTCTGGAAAGATCAGCCTTTGGGAGTCCAGCCCATGTGGCAGTGTCACCACAGGACCACTGGTGTTTGTTTTTCCCTTATCAGGCTACTCACAAAGCTGTGCTGGACATCGGTGAGGAGGGGACAGAGGCTGCGGCAGCCACCGCCACCAAGCTCATAGTCCGGTCCAAGGATAGACCCTTTTCTACTGTCTTACGCCTTGACAAACCTTTCATAGTTATACTTATGAAAGAAGATATAAACTCACCTCTCTTCATAGGAAAAATTGAGAATCCCACTAAAGCCTAGTGGGAACCTGACCTGTTGATCAATCATCCGCTTTTAAAGATGCACAGGAAATGACATCCGGCACTGCCCGTGCTCCCAGGTGACCCTGAGATCCTCCTCCTCCTGGTCCAAGTATCCACCTCACCTGTACCTGGGATGCTGTTCCCAGGTACAACATCCGACTGACAGCAGAGGTCCTGGTCCCAAGCCCCAACCCAGGAACCAGGCAGTGCGGCCCTTTCTGCCAGCTCCCCACCGGGTTTGAGAAGCACGGCTGGGCCGGAAGCTCCACCCCTCAGAGCCCCGAAGGATGCAGTGAGAGCGGGCAGCTAGATTGCAGAATTACGGTTGTGCAGTCAGATGTGAATCCAGCCACAGCAGGGCTCCTTCAGTACCTGCAGAGTCCTGTTTTGCCTGATGGGCGACTCAGCGGCTGGGATGCCACCCCAGGGCATAGCAGCAGCTGCGTGAATGAATTCATTCTTCATTTGCTCAACAATAACCTAGGAAGCATTTCCTGTGCACTAGGAGTGAATCAGCCGGATGGGTCCCCGGGATGTTGGACCTGAGTGGAGAAGGCAGGTCAGCCAAGCACAACAGAGTGAAATCCACACATCAGCAAGATCTTGGCAGATGAGGAGCCACATCCCAACCACAGAATTCCAGGGGAGTCACGGGAGGGCGGGGCCGTGTTGCATGAGCAAGGAGATTGGTGAGCCAGGAGTGAGCACAGGGGTTTGGGGGGACAGAGGGAAGACCTTTTGCCTGGGGCATCCTGTGTCATACACAGAATGGCAGAAGCTGGGGCACAGAGGTCTGAGGAGGTAGACTGTGTGACGAGGGCACAGTGACCAATGAAAGTGGTCTGGGCTTGGGGGCAGCATGCAGGAAGCCAGCTGGACACTTCTGGCAGGAAAATGACAAGGCCTGAAGGTGTCCCCTAGTGCTGGCCACCTTCCTAACTGACCCTGTCAGACATGCACGTGTGCATAGCCCGCTGGGTGCTCAGCTCCTCCCTGGTGCCTTGTGGAGCAATAGACAGTGCCATAGGCTATAGTGACCCCTAGGCAGTGGCATCTTTGAGCTGTTGCCACCATCCCTCCTGATTCCTGTATCAGGTGCCAACATCACCTCTCAGCTGCAGTATATCTGCATGGGTATCCAAAACCCAGAAACCCCTTTCCTGGGGTACCAGTGCCCCTACCAGCTCACAGATGAATCATCTGAGGCTCACACTGGTTTCCCATGCTCTTTTATATGGAAATAGGGTGCAAGGGCTCCTGCTGGACAGGGGCACTGAGTTCCCACATGCACCCCCATCCCATCTGGTCCACATGAGTCCACTCCAAGCAGGAACTCCAAGCAGGAAGACAGATGACTGGCCCAGGCCGCTGGCACAGGATCAGAACCAGGAGCAGAGCCCAGCCACAGGAGGCGACAGCCGCAGGAGGGGCAGCCACAGCTGAGCTTCCTCTGTGAGGGTCACAGTGGAGGACAAGTCACCCTGCCTCTCAGCACAGGCCTCATACAAGGCTTGGTGCTGTCCGTGCCCAGAATAGCAGGCATGGAGAACTGGCGAGGGACGTCTGGGTTGCTTAGAGCACATCCTTTCCAGTGACCCTCGGAAGCACTGTGGTGGGGTGGGAGAGGGCCACCACCTCCCCCAGCCTCCTTGCAGGTGACACTGCAGCTGCAGGCTGGTGCTGCTCACCAGGACACATGTGAGCCCGCAGGTGCAAACTCCACCACAGACCAGGTTTCCTTGCTTGGGGGGCTCCGCTCTCTGTGGACTGAGATGCTTCTCTTCATCTGTTTTCAAATGCACCTCACTGTGGTTTTGACATTTGATGCAATCAGGTATTGTAGGACATCAGCCTGAGTCAACTGTTTTCGGAGAAACATTGGATTACCCAAGAGGAGGAGGCTCATCACCCCATGCAGTGCCACTTGGGAGCACCGAGGTTGTTTTGGAGGAACAGGGCCAAGGGAAGGTGTGGGCAGGCCCTCTGGGACCGCAGCGTGGGAGGGAGAGGGTGGGACTGTCCCTAAGGGCTGGAGGTGAGAGAGCATGAGGTGTGTGGTTGGAGGGTTAAAAAGACTCGCTCTCCTCACCCTGTTGTGGTTTCATTTGATGTTTATTCTTTGTGATAGTTCCTGTGCAATCAGGGTTTTGTTCATAAAGTCTTTGCCTACCTTTACGTCTTCAAGAGTTTTACCTATTCTGTCTTCCAGCAGATCAAGTGCTTCTGTTTTAATATTTATATCTTTGACCCATCTTGATTTTAGTTCAGGGCATGGTGGAAAAAAATTTTACCAGCTATTCTTCCAACAAAAGCCTGATATTTAGAACATGTGAAGAACCCCTCAAAAATCAGCCCCCACAAATTCAAAGACCCAGTCCAAGAATGGACATCCGAAATAGATACTTCTCAGATAAACACAAACAGCAAACAAACATAAACAAATTAAACCAACACTGAGATTCTATCTTACTCTAGAAAAACATAACTATCACCAAGAAATCAACCGGTAACAAATGCTGGCGAAGCTGTGAGGAAAAAGAAATCCTTCTCCCTTAGTGGTGGAATCAGTACAACCAATATGGAAATCAGCTTGAAGATTCCTCAAAAAGTTAAAACTAGAGGTTCCATCTGACCCAGCTATCCGCCTTCTAGGTATTTTCCTGAAACTGTGAAAAGCATCATACCACAGTGCCATGTGCATGCTCATGTTCACAGCAGCACAATTTTATTAGCTAAGTCTTCGAGACAGCCCATCAGCACATGAATGGCTAAAGAAAATGAGGTATTTGTACACAGTGGAATACTATATTGCCACAAAGAAGGATAAACTCGAGACATGTTTAGGTAAATGGATGCATCTCGAGACCATAGTTTTAAGTGACATAAATCAGGCACACGAGTGTAGCTATCCCACCATTTCGCCTCCGTGAGAAAGGATACCTAAGGAGCAAAATGGACAGCAGAGATTGGGAAGAGCATGTTCAAGTGGGAAGGGGAATGAGAGAGGGGGAGGGGAAGGGAAGAAAGACTTTAAAAAGGGAAGGAAAGGAAACGTGGAAGCCAAGCTTTTGTCAGTGGGCGAGGGGGATAAAGCTTTGAAGGGAGGGAGGGGCTGGAAAAGGAGGGTTAGTGAACTATGTACAGGTGCGAATGCTCCACGATGAGTATGATCATTACGTATGGGAAACTGTACTAACAAAAAATAAAATTAAATAAAAATTTTACAAGAGAAATACAGGGGGGAGAGGGGGGCTCTCTCAAGGGACTGGTGATACATTCCTGGAATCCCAGCACCCTGAGACACGGAGGTAGGAGGATTACAAGTTCAGTGGAAAATATCTTGTCTCAAATGAAAAAGGCCTGGGGGTGTAGCTTAGTGACTGGGCGCTGGGTTCAAGTCCCATCACTGCAGGGAGGGAGGGACAGAGGCAGGGAGAGAGAGACAGAGAGACAGAGACAGAAAGGACACAACAGTGCCTGTGAGTTTGGCCCACGACTCCAAGATGCCAAGTCACTGATACAAGATTCTAGGCATGATTATTATTGTCTGGCACGAGCATTTCACTCCAAATAGAACCACAATATTCAAAAGGTGGATTCACCTTAACTGGTGTGAGCAAGATGATAAAACCTCCAGAGTGCATCCCATACAGACAAGTACACCAAAAATGGGTCCAGGGCAGCAGACCCCGGTCGGTACACAAAGGCCAGAGGCCTGGCAGTGTCTCCAGCCTGCCCGTGCGTCCCGCACACCCATCATTGCCTGGGTGGAAATCTCTCTGTTTCGACATTCATTAGGGTCGGAGTGCTGTCTGCAGCCCGCCTTTCCGCAGCTGCTGGCCCCGGAGTGCACTTTTCAGAGGCTAAGGAGCCCTGCAGGGTTTCTGCGCTCCTAGAGCCACGACTGTTGAGGAACCACCCTGGCATGTAAACAAAAACAACCCAGTCCCTTCATGTCTGTGTAGGAGTATTTCAGGGTGCATCGCAGACACCGTGGGCCGATTCCCCCAGGCAGCAGGTGTGGAGATTTGTTTTTTTTAATTTAAAGAAAAAAAAAAAAACCCAAAGCAGTAAAGGGTAGAAGTCATACAGAATTTCAAGAAAAATAAAATATACAGTAAGAAATCACTAGTTAATAGATTATATATTGTCATCTTAGAGACAGTTGTCCAAATTACAGAATTAAAGCATACAAAGTGGACATTTATACAGTGAGATTGCAGACAGTTCCATGGGTGTGGACATTTGCTGGGTGGATGCGAGTTTTCCACCTCCCCCACCACAGCCCAGTGAGCCCGCCTGCAGGTGTTTCAGTGAAGTCGCCCCAGCAGTGTCCCTGCTCCACAGGACACAGGCACAAGCGAGGGTGTGTGACACACACAAGACAGTACACAGCATGGGACCAGCACTGGGCTCAGGAAGGAGGACTTCACAGGTCTCTAGTTCCCGCTCCAGGGTTGGAGACCCAGCCCTGCACTGCCTCTCTGTGACCATGTGGACCCGGCACAATCTCTGTCTGCTCCACTTCCCTCCTCTGAAAACTCCGAGCTCCAGGTCACTAGGTTGTCCTGTGAGTAGCACAGACAGCGCTGAGGAAATCACCCATCCTTCTCACCGCTGTCCCTGTTGCAGATCAAAGCTGCTCCAGCCCAGCTCATTTCCCAGGAGTTGGAAGCAAAGCCCTGGGTTGCCCTGACGGCCTCCGTGCGCCCCTGAGGCTCCCCTCACATGGGTGGCCAACATCCTCTCTCCACGCACAGCTCAGAGCTGTCTGCGGATGGGGTCCCGTGACCGTTCCTGGCATGTGGCTGATCTCTGGTAGCAAACTGCTCGCCCCCTGCCCAGAGGATCCCACGGCAAATGGCTCCAGAGTCCAGCTTGAAAGTGAAACCCTGCAAGCCACATGGATCAGCTGAAACCAACAGTAGAATCTTTCTGTGCCACCAAACTAGAAAAAAAGTTAGGTAACAAAGATGTCGACTTTGCCTTTCTCAACAGAACTATAATAACGAAAGACAAGCAGAAGCGTTTAAAGAACTTTCCAAAGTCCTTGAGTCTGCTCAGTGGCTGTTTAGTCTGGGACGTCTTACCCAAGATGCAAAGTCACAGCCTGGGAGCTCTGGGTTAGGGCCACAGCTGTGACGCCAGGCAGACATGGCGTGGCCCCTCCAGCTGTATGACTGTAAGTCACTGACCCTCTCTGTGCCTCGATTCTCATCTCTAAAGTGGGGTTTCCACAGAACCCGCTTCACGCTATGGTGGTGAAGACTGAGCGGATACTGCAGAGCAGACTGTGGCGTCCAGCATGGGAAGTGAGTCTGGTCAGTGCTGGGGGACCACTGGTGCTGGCCAGCATCACAGAAGCACCTGGGCACGGGTCGTACAGAGCGCCACATCTCCTTCCTCTTAGATCTCAGCCCCTGCTCCCTGGGTGGCCCTGACATACTGGCAGAGAGGTCTCTGGGGGAATGCAAGTTTGTTCTGGAAGGCGAACACGGGTCCTTCTAGGGAGTAGGGGGCCCTTGTGCTAGGCTTTGGCGTGCCTGCTGTGTGCTGGCATGTGGGAAAATCATGGATTATGTCTGGGTTACACCAGCAATGATTTTACAGACAGTAAGTACATAAAGCAAGGAAGGATTTTGCAAGGCAGCCTGCTTGGGAAGCCCAGAAACGGCGGGGGCTCCCCGGAGGAGACCTAACCCAGCCGGGATGGAAGGGGAGGGGGCAGCTGTCAGGAAAGGCTTCCTCCAGGTGAGGTCTGAGCTGCACCCTGAGGAGTGGGCAAGAGCTGGTGCTGCTGAGGAAGGGAGGAGTGTGACAGTGTTCATGGCCAGAGGAAAAGAGCATGCAAAGGAGAAGCTGGCTGAGATGCCAGGTGGGCCAGGCACCAGCGGGACATCATGCAAGTGCTGAAGAAGGGGTCTCCCCAGAGGTCTCGGGTTGGAGACGAAGAGATTTCAGAGGGCAGAATAAGGGAGCAGTGCCTGGGCTAAACCAGGGGACCAGAGAGGAGGCTGGGGACATAAACCAGGGCGCAGGTCGTGGAGGAGACAGGGTCGGCAGGAGCCCAAGGCTGGGAGCAGACACTGGAGAAAGGACAGCAGGGGAGGCTGGGCAGCAGGCAGGGAGGTGCGGTTTCCCCAGGCGGTGGGCCCCGCTGTCCCAGACAACAGCCACGATGGCCGCAGTAGGGACTGGGCCCTGAGGAGAGGAGCCTGCGAATCAGGACTCAAAGTAGCCATCAGTTCCTGGAAGTGGGGCACAAGGAGCAGGGAGATTGTTGGGGGAAGGTGGACGGTTCGCTGGGCTTCATGGTTTCTCCAGTCGCATTGGCTGCCAGGGGCACCAGGACCGCAGAGAACACTGCACAGTGTGTGTGCTGGATGCCCACCGAGAGCATGGTGGGATGGAGCTCCAGACCAACCAGCGAAACAGGTCCCATCTGACCTGTTCCAGCTGAGGACTCTGAGGCTCAGGACTGCAGGGCCCGCCCGGAGAGGACCCTGGGCCCCGAGTGCCTCCTAGGAGCCCAGGCTGAGGTGCTGTGGGACCCTCTCTGCACAAGAGCCAGGAGGGTCTGGTCGGGGTGGCATCCACACACAGCCTCAAAACTCACCTTCTTCTTCCATTCCAGCCCTCTGACTCTTCCTCAAGTGCTCCCCCAAGTGGGGACGTTGGGGACAGAGAAAGGGACTTTCCCAAGGATCCCCAGCCTGGTTTCCCTGCTCTGCACTCCTTTTCTTCTCTGCACCCCCTCTTCCACGTGGGTGCAGCCCCCCTAGCGCCTCCGCTCACTTCAGGTCGCTGCTGCCCTGCAGGTGGTGAGCGGTCCCTTCTCTGCGGTAACTCGGAGGGACCATGGTCTTGCTGAGCAGCCAGTGGCCACCTGCTCTGGGCTTGGAACACTTGCTGATGGATAGCCACGTCCACCCCGAGGGCAGCAGGGCAGAGGTTCCTGGGTGCCCCTGCCTGCCCTCTTTCTTTCTGCAGGAAGGATTTCAGGACACAGCAACACAGCCACTCTCATCGTGGACAATGCCTCAGTGAGCAAAGCTGTCCTGTCCCCAGAGACAACGGCTGGCTGTGAGGCCAGCAGAAGGGTTCCCAGGACAGCTGGCACACGTGCCCTTTATCCTAACTCCTCTGGGAAGCCCCAAATCCCCAGGGGCTCCCGTCATCCTTTAGTTCAAAGGGTGCTTCCTGGCGCTTGGCCAGGACCTGAGCTCCCCACAGTCTCTCCAGGAGGGACCATCATTCACCCCACACAGCAGGCCAGTGGTGAAGCCACTGAGGTTTCCAGAAGGGATCAGCCAGCACCAAAGTGACAAATAGGAACAGCCGTGTGCTGGCAACAGGAGCCGGGCACTGCTTTACCCGTGCACTGTAATCAAAGCCTAGGGGCTCGACTCGGTAGCCATAGGAGCTCTGACCATATGGTGCGTCAGGACCCTGAGTCACGATCTCAGCATGTCAGCCACTGGAGAGCAGTGAGAAGCACAAAACTGAAAAAATTCAGGGTCCAAGGAGGATGCCAGCACTGGCTATTTCCATCTAGGAGCTGCTCCAGGGCAACCAGTGTGACCACAGTAGACTCACAGGCATCCCCTCCTCACCGCAGAATCAGTGCCATGTCTGGGCTGCTTCAGGCTTTAAAAGCGCCCCCAGGAGGGCTTGGGATGCAGCCCAGTGGTAAAGTGCTTGCCCAGCATGTCTGAGGCCCTGGGGTGGGCCCCAGCACCCCTCCCCCTAAAAGAAACAAAGAGAAAAAGGTGCCCCTTAGTGAATTAAATGATTCTGCTTTTCAACAATGATGCTTTATTGCTATGAACAAGTGTGTGCTCTCTGTAAGAAACTTGGAGAACACGGAATCCCAGACAGAAGAACACAAGCGTTAACTCTACCCTCTCATTCAGAGATGTTCATAACAAATATTCATTCAGCTCCTGGCTTCTTCCCAAGTGTCAGGGGTTGGGGTGACAGGACCCCTTGATCCCACTTCCTGGGCTCAACCCAGCAGGAGGGGTGTGTGTGCTGTGTCTCCTGAAGCCCCTCCAGTCCCCTCTTGGTCTCCTGTCTCTCTGTCTCCGTGGACTGTTTTTATTCAAAGTGTCAGGAGAGCGGGCTGGGTTGGTGTGGGTCAGGGCTGGGAGGCAGAGCCACCCTCACCCTCCCTCTGTGAAGGGGGCAGAGCTGCCCCTCTCCTGCCTTCTCTGCTCCAGGGTGACTGATGCCCCAGGGCAGAGGACCTCATCCCCGGGACACACTCAGACCCAGCAGCATCCTGAATCACAGGTCCCCTGCTTGTCCACAGGACAGACGGCCAGGACAGACACTGTGGGAAAAATTCCTTCCTGCTTGCCATGCTGTCTTCAGAGCAGTGCCAAGAACCGACCTGACAGATACTGACAGCACTGCTGTGACCTGCAGAGGCCAGTGTCCCTGGGGCCGGTGGCCCTGTGTTCAGCCGTGCTGGGACTGTGCTCCAGGAGTCCCGCACCTGCATTAGAATGAACACCTCATTTGTGTCTGTCTCTCTGTCTGTCTGTCAGTCTGTCCGCCTGTCATCAATTTTTCTCTTGACACAGAGACAGGGATAGGAGAAGTGAGTCCCCAGAAGGAAAGCATGTGAGTACTGCCCTGGAGTCTGAAGTTGGAACTTCGGGTGCTCAACCACCTCTTAGGGGAAACTCAGCCTCCTAACTTTGAGAGAGGAACTCTCAAAGAATCCCTGGTGACCCGACAAGAATGCACAACAGATAACCCTAAGGCAAGTGACCCTGCTTGCCGGGAGCTCTGGCGTGGGACCGGGGTCTTGCTCAGAAGCCCCTGTCAGGAGCTAAATCTTGCTCCTCCTGCTAACCAGGTGCTCACCTGACCCCGAGTCTTGGTTTCCCCCAGTGTGCTTGTATGAGACCCCTTGGGCCGGGCTCCTCTGCAGTACTTGTGACTCTGCTGGGGGTCCCCAGAGCTGTCATGTGTGAGTCACCTGCTAAGCCCCAGTGGCTGAGATGACCTGAATACCGCCCACCCGCTCTCACACGCCCCTCCTGCCACACTTGCAATGTGTCCGGTGCTCAGTAATTGAGAATGCTATCAATGACCAGCGTCTTTCATTTTCTTCTGGAATCTTCCAGGAACACGAGCTAAGAAGTGCGCTGGACATCATCATATCCAGCCTTGGAAAGGAAGCAAACTCCCAGCGTGCCCTTTCTCCATGCCAGGGCTTGGAGATGACTGTCACCAGCTTAGGCGACCTCATAACCCCGGGAAGCAGGCATCTCACTTGCAAGACACTGAGTTTCAGTGAGTCACCTTCGTCAAAACTCAGGCTCTTGTCTGCAACTCGGTCCTCTTGGGAAACACACCCTGGGCAGAGCAGGGCCCTCGAGTACAGAAGGGTGGGAGATGGGCTGAGTTTAATGGGAGCACAGAGCAACCCAGAAATAGCTTTCTCGTCATTGCATTTCTGGTTTTACCCAGGGAGGACCAAGTTTTAAACCGTTGTGCATCTTCCAAGTCTTTCCATCAGGGAACTGTCTCTAAGCCACCAGCCCAGCGCTGTGCGGGAGGGAGGGAACGACTCGGGGAAGTGTCCACTGCACTTTGACCAGCAACCAGGTTTCAACACAAGGGGCGAGCGGAGAAGATCCGTCACTTCCGGGAGGCCGGCCTTCTTGGCTGGGGAGCATATTTAGGGCACTGGGGGCCACAAGCCCAGCTTCTCCAACAGTGTGCCCTCTCCCCCATGCTGCAGCTGTTGGCCCTCATCCGGAGGTCCCTGGGCCCAGCGGAGAGCATTAAGGTGAGGATTAAGATGCAGGTGATTTCAGGAGTTGCTGGCAACTCTGATGGAGCCGTGGCCAGGGGGTGGCCACAGTGGGTGGCCACAGGGGAAGGGGTGGTTTTGAGGGGAGCAGGAAGACACTAGGGTGTGGAGAGTTCAGTGTCTCCATGGCAGAGCTTTGGGGGTGTGGGGAGGGGGTGCAGCTGAAAGGGAATGGGAGGCACAGGCCAGAGGGCTGCGGCAGCACCCTTAGTTTGGGGCTGTCCCCTGTCTGCATCAGCCCTGAAGCCGCCGGCTCCGCACCATGCTGCCCCCAGAGGTGACGAGAGGCTCTGCACCCCACCTGCCAACTGGAGGGTGCAGGGCTGTCCTGTTGATTTGCAGTCTCTCTGCAGGCTGGGGTCCTGGCCTCTGTCTGCAGCCAGTTCCTCCTGAGACCAGGAGGAAAATCCGATGGAGGCCCCTCCCATGGCTTCTCTTGCTGTGATCGCTGGTGTTTCTCAGACTGCAGAGTTTCCAGGGGCCCTGCCCTCACCTTCACGTGGTGTCCCCCTTCCAAAGTCCACCTTCTCATAATGGTATCCATCGCAGTGGACTAGGGGCCTGCTCCAGGGACCTTGGCTTAACTAATGACAGCTCCCAAGGAAGATCACTTCAGAAGGCCTGGAGGCTGGGGGTTCAGTGTGAGTTTTGGGGCGACACACTTTGACCACTAACAGACATCTTTTCTAAACCCCTGCACTGACGCAGGCAGAGCTTTCAGCCACGGGGCACAGCAGTGTGAGTCAGCCCAGGCAACAGTGGCTTGAAGGAGACCTGGAGACAGTGACCTCCCTGTCACCTCTCCTCCCGGGGAGCTGATCCCATGTCTTTGGCGTCCCTCCTCGGCTGCCGTCATCTGCACAGCCCTCATCCCTGACCCTTACAGCCAGTGAAGACCGGAAGGATAGAGGCTCTCCCCCATCCTTCACATGGCCCCTTTCCCTCATGGCTCCTGGCCAGGGCTGGGTCCAGGCAGCCCAGCCTCCTCCCAGTGTCCAGACAACCGCTCTAGCATTCTAAGGAGTCAGGAATTATGTTTGTTTCTTTCCCCATTAGATCCCCAGTACTTAGAGCACTTCATGGACCAGGTAGACCTTAGACGTTAGGAATGAGTGAGCACCCCTGGAAAGAAGAAAAAGGGAAGAAAAGGGAAAAGAGGAGGGAAAGAGGAAGGGAAGGAAGAAGGAGAAGAGAGAGGAAGGAAGGAAAAGGAGGGCAGGGCAGGGAAGGGAAGGGATGGGAAGGGAAAGTTACTCAACAAAATCCATCAGCACGTGGAGCAGCCAAAGGGCTACTGCTCTGACCAAGGCCTTGGAGGACCGTGTCCAGCATCTTACGCAGACTTCCTCATCTTGTCCTCCGCAGTGGGCCCACGGCATCCCCCGGGATACAGCTGGAGAGCCTTGGGGAAGGGTGGGGATGTTCATAAACAGTGATGTGTCCTCGTTCTTGTTTTCAGAGAATGGGCCCGGCGTGGCCGTGGCTGCTGGGAGCCGGGGTCCTGGCCTCTGTCTGCTGTCAGCCCTTTCCCGCCCGTGGAGATAAGAGCCCCGGGGTGCCTCAGCACCCGAGTCACCAGCTCACAGAGCTGGCCCCTGCCTACCACAAGGTTGCGCCCACCGTTACCAGCTTCGCTTTGCGCCTGTATAAGCAGCTGGCGGCGCGAACCCCGGGAAACATCCTCTTCTCCCCAGTGAGCGTCTCCAGCACCCTGGCCCTGCTGGCCCTTGGGTTCCATGGTGACACCCAGACTGAGATCCTGCAGGGTCTCGGTTTCAACCTCACGGAGACTCCAAGTGCCGACATCCACAGGGGCTTCCAGAGCCTCCTACACACCCTGGACCTGCCCAGCCCCAAACTCGAGCTAAAGGTGGGGAACTCGCTGTTTCTAGACAAGCAGCTGAAGCCTCAGCAGCGCTTCCTAGACAGCATCAAGGAGCTATACGGAGCTCTGGCTTTCTCTGCCAACTTCACTGACTCTGCCACAGCCGGCAGGCAGATCAGCGAGTTCGTGGGGAAGCAGACTTACGGGCGGGTCACAGACAGCTTCCAGGAGCTGGGCCACGACACGCTCTTGGTTCTCTTGAATTACATCTTCTTCAAAGGTAAGGACCAGGCTCAGCAGACTCGGTGAGAGCACGCTCGCCGTCCCTGGACAGCCCGAGGCCCTCTGCCACAGCTCTGTCGGATTTGCTGGGCCCCTTGGGAACATCTAGGAATAAGACAGTTTTTCTGCCCTAGTATAGCTCAGATCCCGTGTGGTTTGGAAATGAGAGGCCATGCAGGTCAGAAAGACACTGATGCTGCCCTCCTCGAGCAGGTCCCAGTGCTGTGGCAGCTTCATCCTGGCTCAGAGAGAGAGGCAAGATTGCCTGGAAGAGGAGGCATCTAGGGGAGACAGGAAGAAGGGGGGGGGTCAGTGCATGGAGGCTGGGGGAGAGGTGGGAGCACAGGTTGGGCTTGGACAAAACACCAGCATGTGGAGCAGCCAAAGGGCCATTGCTCTGACCAAGGCCTTGAAGGATCGTGTCCAGGGCCTTATGCAGGCCGCCCTATCTTTTTTTTTTTTTTTTTTTTTTTTTTTTTTTTTTTTTAATTTAAGAGGAAAAAGAGAAAAACACAAAACAAACCAAAGCGGCGTAAGGGTACACGCAATACAGAACTACAAAAAACAAAACAAAACAAAACAAAAAAACATAACAGTAAGAAATCACCTGCTAGTAGATTACACACTATCTTCTTGAAAATAGTTCCTCAAATCACAGTATCAAAGAACACAGGTGGACATTCAAACAGGGAGACTGCAAACAGCTGTGTTCAATGTTCCAAAAACATTGATAAAGTCAGCTATTTAACACCCCCAAACACACTTGCTGTTATATCCGTTTTTCTTTTTTTTTTTTCCCCTCTCTTTTTTACAACAAAATTTACACATCTTGGATTTTATTACTCCTTAGTGCTTATTACTTTCTTTGGGGGGGGGGAAGAATACAGTCAAATATGGCAAAACAAAGCTGTCAGTCAATACCAAGGATAGACATAGGCCGCCCTATCTTGTCTGCTGCAGGAGGTGGAGAAAGGAGATACTATTGCATTTTCAAAGAAGCCAAGATGGCAGAATTCCACTGAGGGATGCAATGCAGGAAGGTATCCAGAGCTGCAAAGTTGAAAAAGCGGGGGTCACCCGGGGGATCCTAGACCTGCTCAGGGAGCTGCAGCACTCCCTGCCTTAAGCAGCAGAAATCCACACCACAAATGTTTTAGAAGGCTCAGTGCAACCAGGTGCCGTGACATGTGCCTAAAGTCCTAGTTCCTTGGGAGGCTGAGGCAGGAGGATCATTTGAATCTGGAAAACAGAGAGACCCACCTTAAAAAAATAGTAATTCCAATTTGGGTACAGTTTGGAAAATGGGCGGAGAGTGCCCTCCTGGCCCCAGTCTCCTTCCCCGATTCTCCTTGGGGGCCTCCACAGCGCAGGTTTGCAGGAGACCGGCAGAGCTCTAGGTGTAGTGATGCTTCAGCGGCCCGGAGCCTGGTCTTGTCCTGGCCCTACATCCAGGCCACTTGGCTCCCTGGGGGTGGACCCCCTGGAGGAAGTCACCTTCCGCGTAGCTTTGGGGACTCCCTCTCTGGGAACGCGTTCTCACGATGTCCGGGTCTTGCATCTTCAGCCAAGTGGAAGCATCCTTTCGACCGCTACCAGACCGGGAAGCAGACGAGCTTCTCGGCGGACGACGGGACCTCACTGCGTGTGCCCATGATGCAGCAGCGGGCCATGCACAGGTTCCTCTACGACCAGCAGGTGGCGTGCACAGTGCTCCAGATCGAGTACAGCGGCAACGCGCTGCTGCTGCTGGTGCTGCCCGACCCGGGGAAGATGAGGCAGGCAGAGGCCGCGCTGCAGCTGGAGACCCTGCGGAGGTGGGGCCAGCGCTTCCAGCCCAGGTAGGTGCCGGGGCTCCGGGCTCGCTCGGGTGCTTCCTGGGCGAGCTCTCGCCTCTCCGGACCTCCGACTTCCTCCCCTGTGCAATAGGGCTCAGAGGAGTCATTGAGTGAGCATTAGTCTGGCACTTGGACCCTAAGGGCTCCTTGCACATATAGCCCAGAAATCAGATGTAGGACAATTACTAAGAACATTTGGGGCTGGGGATTTAGCTCAGTAGTGTGGACACCTGCCTGGGAAGCCCGAGGTAGTGAGTTTGATCCCAGTTACCAAAAAGAAAAAAAAAGGAATAATCATGACTCCCGCAGAATAGAATCTGTGTTTAAAAGCTCTTTCTGTTTAATTAAAACGTATTTAAAGAAATACTGAAAAAAACAACAAGATAGGTGTGGTGGCTGAGGCAGGAAAATCTCAAGTTCTGGCCCTGCGTAGGCAATTTAGGAAGATCCTGTTTCAACATAAAAAGATAAAAAGGGCTTGGAGGGTACAGTGTGCCCTGAGTTCAGCACCCGGGAACACGCACACACACACACAGAGGAAGACCAATAAAGCAAAGCACCAGTTGTATGCGATCTGTGATCTTTTACCTATGACTTGTTTTCTTTTTGGACAGATTTCCACTATTCCGTTCAGGTTAGACTTGAACTCACCTTGTAGCCCAGCCTGGCCTCAAATTTTTAGCAACCCTCTTGCTTCAGCCTCCCAAGTGGCATTACAGGCGTGCACCACCACACCCAGCCTCACCTGTTCTTTCCAGCTCACGAGCTCTTTGGTGTGTGGTTTTGTCATGGCAAGCTTACCTTTATCTGGTTTCTTTGGATCTCCTTCTCTGACCAGCCCCGTCTTCATATAGGTGCTTTGGGGTAAAATCTGGTATTGAATTCTAGACACCCCCAAACTACCTTGCTAAAGAAAATGAGTCCTTCTCCCTCGGTGCTCCAGGCTGACTAGGCTTCCCTGGATGGTTGTCATTATTGACGTCTGGTGGTATCTAGGCAGGAGCCACCAAGGCCTCCATCAGTTGTGTGTCTGCAGCCTGGATGGAGCACGCTGCCGAGATGCTCCGAGCACGCTGGGCTCCCTGAAGCAGGGCAGCTCAGTGTAACTGGCATTACTACATATAATGCAGCTCAGGGCTCCAAGAGGCAGTGCTCCCAAAGACAGGAAGCAAAAGCTGCCACCTCTTAAGGCTCCCAGACCAGCTACAGATCTGCCCCAGATGCCAGGGCAGGGCTCAGAAGCTCCACGGCTTGGTGGCCATTAAACCAGCACAGCCTGATGGCACCAGGCCCCCTTAAAAACCCACAGGCTTCTCTGAGGTGCCCAAGATAGGGAAAGGGTGCTTTGTGTTTGGGCGGAGATTAAAGCACCAAATAAAAGAGAGGTGGTCAAGAGGAGAGGCCTGGAACTGTCTGACTCCTGGAACTCCTATCAGCCTAGGTTCTGGTGTGGTGTGAGCCGGCCTCCCACCCCACCCCACCCCACCCCAGTGGAAGAGAGGGCTGCAGAATCTTCCAGATGCGAAGATTTTCCCCAGGAAGTGCTTGCTTGGCCTGCTTCTCATTCTGTTCTTCAGAAGGCAAGGTGAACCCAGGTCACTGTGCTGAATCTCGGTTGTGGATTCCTGGGTTGGAAAGTTCCAGTGTCATAGGATTTTCGTGGGCTTTCACACAGGAATGCTTTATTAATTTTTTATTAGCGCATGTTTGCAGTACACAATGTTCACACTCCTTCTTAGGGGTTGATACATGTGCATAACACATCTTTTTAAAAAAATTTTATTTAAGGAGAAAAAGAAAAAATAGAAAAAGGGTACAAGTTATACAAAATTTCAGAAAAAAAATAAACAATAGGAAATCACTAGTTAATAGATTACATATTGTCATCTTAGAAATAGTTGTTCAAGTTACAAAATTAAAGCACATAAAGTGGACATTCAAACAATAAGACTGCAAACAGTTCTGTTCAATGATCCAACAAAAACTCAGTAACATGGTTATCTATCTTATACACTTAAATATACATGCAGTTATATTCTTTAGAGCACTTTCTTTTCCTCTCTTTTGTACAATGACAATTACACATTTTGGGTTTTATTACTCCCACAGTTCTTATTACTTTTTTTGAAGAGAGTAAAACCAAATGTGACATAACAAAACAGAGTCAGTCAAATCAAAAGGATGGACATAATACAAAATGTAAAGCCTCTTGCTATTTTAAAAAGAATTGGCTATATCATCAGTTGTAATAAAATTGAACAAAACAGTAAAGAACAAAACCAATAAAACCAAAACCTTGGAGACATTACAGGAGTTCAAAAGAAGATAATAGTCAACCAGAATGGGCGTCATAATGAATCTTATTGTCTTCACAGTTGTTGCCTGTACCCTCAAACTTGGTACTATCAAGCAAAACAGAATAGAGGAAAATCAGTCAAAACAAGATGGTGAGAGCAATACAGGGTTTCAAACCAAGTTAATAGGAAACCAATGTGGGTTACTATAATATATCCTGCTATTTTTATTTATTTTTCCCTTAATTAAAAAGATAAAAATAAAAAAGTAAATAATAAAAAAGGAGACTGAGATAAAAGAGGACATAACAACAAAACAGCACAGGTCAAAACATAACCATTTAAGCAAAGTAGAGTTTCACCACAAGATAATCCTGACATAAAAGTAGTTACCATAGTGTCTCTTTCCTTGAAATCTTTGAGTATAACTTCATGTACTGTAGTATCAAACATATCAAGACAATGTAAAACCATTCAAGAGAATGACAGTATTACAGGGTATTTAGAAACAACTAACAGAAAATGAACAATGGTTTCTGTATAATCTCCTTGTCTATAAAAGTTTTTGTTTATATTATCACATATAATAAAATCCAATAAGATACAACATGTTAAGACTGATGGAGACAGAAGAATAAAAGCTTGATGGGACTTCAAAACAAGATGATATTAAATCAGCACTAGGTATTATGATGTCTTGTTTTCTCCAAAATAGCTGTTCCTACCATCCAACCTTCTCTGCCTCATTTCTGTTGAGCTCTTTTTCTGTCAGTTTGTCTTCTTCATTTGGCTTTCTGCTCCATTCATTGTGGCCTCTCTGCCACTGTTTCTGGAATCTTGATATTTTTCTTTTTTAGAATGCCCTGCAGTATTCTCTGTAGAATTGAATTGGTGGTTGCAAATTCCCCTAGTTCCTCTTTATCCTAGAAGCACCTTGTTTTTCCATTAATTTCTAGGGACAGTTGTGCAGGATATATCAATCTTGGCTGGAGGTTATTATCTTTCAAAGCTTGAATTATTTCCCACCTTCTTTGTTGATGGTTTGTGCCAAGAAGTCTGCTGTAATTCTGATGGGTGTTCCCTTGTAAGTGATCTGTTTCTTGCCTCTGATGGCTTTTAAAATTCTGTTCTTATATTAGATTTCTGGAATTTTGATTATTATATGCCTGGGTGTAGCTCTGTTTGGGTTGTAGGTGGCTGGGGTCCTGTATGCCTCATACATCTGAGTATCTTTACCTTTTGCTGAATTAGAGAAATTCCCCTGGATTATTTCTGTGAATAGCCTTTGTAGTCCATTTGTTTGTGTCCCTACTTCTTTTATGTTCTTAATTCTTAAGTTATGGATCCTCTTATCATCTTCTAGCCTTTGTATTATTGCTGTTTGTTTCCTTATTATTTTTAAGAAGTTTTTCATTTCATGCTCCCACATTACAAATCTGCCCTCCAGTTCAGATAATCTATCCTTAGTTTCTTTCAAGCTGTTATGCCAGCTTTCAATAGAGTTTTTAGTTTCCTGGTAATCTCTTTGAACCTGCTTCACGTATTCTATGTTTTCTCTATTTTCTCCATTAAACAATTCTCCCCTTTTTTCTGTTCTTCCATTCCACCATCTGTTTTTTCTTGGGTGGTGCTTAGCATTTCTCTAACTATTCTACTTATATCTTGCTTTACTTCATTAAATAGTTCACTTTTGAACTCATCTATGAGGCTTTGGAGATATTGCTTTATGTCTGTTGGTACCGTGTCTGATAGTGCATGTTTTCTTTCCTCATTCTCCTTTGCATTTACCTTTCCTAGATCAGTGTTCTCAGGATTGGGGACTGAGGACCTGTTCTTGTTGCTCCCTCTTCCCATACTTTTTGTTTCTTCCATACAAGCGTATATAGGAGGCCCAGTTTCTTTCTTTGTTGGTTACAGTTTGTTTGAATTGTGCCGGCTAGGTGTTCCCGCCCACTGCAGTATACTAGGGAGACACAGACCTGGGTGGCCTCTGCTGGGCCTGTCCCTCCAGGTCAGTCAACCTGCTGAAGACTTCACTGTATTAGGGTGCACCTTCAGGCGCTGGGACCTGGTTTGGGCTAGCCTACTGGGTCTTAGTCCGCGGCGTCACCCAGGCCAAGCACTCACCACCAATCCCACTTGAGAGGGGAATATGTGACTGAAGTCACTGCAGCATCCTGTTCTGGCTAGTCTGCCCAGTCCCAGAATGTCCTCTGTTGAAGCCTCCTTATCTATGGAGGGGTCCTGATCCTCTCACTCACCACAGGTCAATGCAGGGCTCCCCACCAATTCCGCTCTCAACTCTGTTTGCCGATTCCCACTCTCAGAGCTTTCGCATATCTGTCCCTGCCATGCCAATTCAGACCCAGCAGCGGCAGCAGGAAATTCAAATCTCGCGGGTTCCAGCTTTGGACTGAGATTTTATCTGTTCCTGTTATAGCACTGGGATTGCATTTCCAGTTGGTTTCTCTCAGCTGAATTTGTTCCTGGGTCGGCAGAGTACATCTCCCCTTGTTTAGGACTCCTCACACCACACCATTCCTGGATTCTAAGCTAGCTATCTCAGAGAGCCTCCGTAGCTGCTGTTATCTATCCACCATGTTCTCCTGGAAGTGACACATTTTAATTCTTTCTTTTTTCTTTCTATTAAATGCCAAATATTTATTTCATTTTTTAAGTTGTGGGGTAAGGTACGGTTTTACTTTGTAGAAGCAGAAAGTTGGGAAGACTGATATAAGTCATTAGAGGTTGTCAGTAGTCAAAGATTTCAGTTATTAAAAAGTCACTTTTTACATCATTCACTTTACAAAGACAAGTTTTTGCTTGAGAAATCTTAATATAACGATGTTGACACCTCTGAGTTTGTTTTATAGAACAGAAAAATTATGGGATTTGTGTGCATATGTGCATTTGTGTGCATATATGTATAATATAGAGTCTCTTCAACTTTCTTTTCTTTCTGTCTTTCTTTCTTTCCTTCTTTTGTTGTTGTAGTTGTTTCTGCAATGAATGCTGGGAGTTGAACCCAGGACCTCCTGAGCGCTAGGCAAGTTAAAAAGTTAAAAATATGAACTACACATCTTTAAAATCTTTTAACAGAGATGAAGTTTAATCGGTGTGTAAGTCAGCTACCTCTTGATGTAAGGAACTGAATTCTTCCCTCCAATATTCTGGTATTTCCACTAATGAAACTGACTCTTCTGCTTTCTTTCTTTCCTTTTTTGTACTAGTATATATCTGCAGTTCTTGCAGTTTACAATCATCTTGGGAAACTTTGATTGTGACCTCTCACAGAGCAGTTCAGTACTGCACTGTCCCAGTGATGTTACCATGGAGTGTTTAGGTAAATAGCTCAAGGGGCTTGTTGCCAGTGTGACTGCTCATGACAAAAAGAGAACCAGACCAGCTCAGTGGCACAGCACCTGCCTGGGAAGTGCAAGGTCCTGAGTTTGAGTTTCAGTACTAAGAATAGAACAAGACCGGATTGTTTATCGCAAGGACTCCTGAAATAGACTGAGTTCTCTGCGGAGTCTAGAGTTTGTTATTTTCATAGTCACTGAGAATTCATGACTTCAACTGTGGTAAGTTGTTGTAATAGTTAGTGTAACTACCCTGAACACTTTGAAGGAAAAAAAAAAGTAAGGCACAATGTCAGAGTCTCCCTAAGGAAACCCAGGATCTCTATGTGCATATTTTTAGAGAGTTAAGTATGTTTCACTTTCTTGTGGAGTTTTCCTGTCCCTCTGTGTGTTAGTGACATTTGCACACTGGAAACTAGTACTTGTCTATGTGTCCCACCATCAGTTCACTTTACCTGCCCATCTGAATCTTAGCATATTCCACAAACCTCCACCCCTCATGCCTTTCTGTCTTTCCTTCTGTCTTCCTCCTCTCTCTTTTGTCATGGTTTATGTCTGGTGGCCCCCAGGCCTCGTGCCTTTGCATTGTGCATTTGGGACTGGTTCATTGTCTAGCGCTTGGATTGATGATGTCAGTGCTGCACCCGCCTAGGGGTGGAGCCAGCATACAATTCGATGGCAGGAAGAAGGTGTCTCTCTCTCTCTTGTCTTTCCACTTGCTGTTTGCAGCCACCATGAACTGCAGCCCCGCCATGCCACCCTGCCTTGGAGCCAACTGAGTATGGACTGAAACCTCCAACAACTGTGAGAAATAAACTTTTCCTTTCCCAACTTGGGCATCAGGTATTTTGTCTCAGTGATGAATAAAAAGTAACTAAGACACTTCCCCTCTTCCATTAGTTCTTTCTAAACATTTTGTTTAGGTGCACTTGTGAGCACATGATGTCCACGTCGTTGTGTGTACTTGGTGTGCACACGACGTGTCTTAATTTCTTTATCCACCCTGTCTCCCCCTCCCTCCATCTCTCGGTCCTCTCCCGCTTTGAGAAAGATCTATGTCCCAACTACCTATTATCTATTTCTTATTTTGCCCTTTACTTATACATTTGGTTTTTTGTGTCAGAGAAACCGTGTGATATTTAAGCTCATGCATCTGGTCTGTTCCACTAACCATCGTGGTCTCAGGATGAGCCACCTTCCTACATGTGGCTTGTGCTTTTCTTTCTCCATGGCAGAGTAGTACTCCATTGTATATAAATGCCACATTTTCTTCACTGTTCATCTGTTGATGGTTTTATAGGTTTAGCTATTATGAATTGTGCTGCTATAAACATGGGTGTGCTTGGCTCGCTGCAATCAGATGTCTTAAACTCTTACAGGAAGATACCTCGGAGGGGAATAGCTGGCTCAAATAGAATTTCTAGTTTCAGTTTTTTGAGGGATTTTCATAGTGATTGTACTAGTTTGCACTTCCAGCAACAATGTAAAAGAGCTCCTTTTCCCCAAAAGCCTCACCAGCATTTATTACTTGATTTTTTGACATAGGCATTCTTTCTCGATAATACGGTATCTCAGTATTGTTTTAATTTGCATTTCTCTAATGGCCAGCGACGTTGAACATTTCTTCATGAATTTACTGGCCATTTGTACTTACTCTGTGAAGTTTCTATGCATTTCACTTACTTGGTTTTGATTGGCTCTTTTATTTGGGGGAATCTAATTTTCTGAGTTCTTTATGTATTCTAGATACAAGTCCTCTGTGTGAGGTGACAGCTGTCATCTTGGCTTGCCTGGGAGGCTCAGGTGTCACGCTGGGACACGCTTTTTCACTCATCTCTCACACCTGCTATGTGTCGAGCTCACTGCTCCTGGCTCTGCCAATGACCTGGGTCTTGCCATCCAGAGCTGCTGTGAAAAATATGTCCAGTTGTCCAAGATGTCCTTACCCTCACTTAGGCATCTGGACCTCCCATCAGCTTGCAACAGTAACAATAAGCCAGATTAACTTCCTGATCTAAACTGATTAGAGATCGAAGCTTCCAAGCTGATTCTTAACTAGTTAATTTTGTAGACACCCTGGCAGTTTTCATAGCATGATTAAGGAAAAGAGTAATCCTCAGGAGAAACTCATAGATGAACCCTGGGTGACAAGACATTCCCAAACATAGTGTGGGCTGTGTGGCAGTCTGATGCTTAGTCAGGGAAGCCCAGCTGCAGGGGGGACCATGATCTTGCTGGTTTGTGATTCGGGGTGGACGCACACACTGCCTCCCCTGATCTGCTGAGCTCCGCTGCAGAGTGGAGATTGCTCCAGGGAAGCTGAAGCCCAGAGGGACGAGACTCTTAGGTGGTTTGAGCTGGGGGGAGCCAGGAAGTGCAGTTCACATGCAGCTGGGAGCCGAGCCCACAGAAGTTGCTGATAAATCAGATGCAGGGGCGGGAAAATAGTCTCTGTACTTTACACGGCTGCCATGGATTCAGTAAGTCAAGCCTTGGTGAAACCCACTGGTTGCGTATAGCACCCGGAAAGCCTTCCACAAGCCTGACCAAGATGGTGGAGATGGTGGCTCTTCTGTGCCCCAGCCCCAGATGCGAGGGCTAACGAGAGGGGAGCACAGGGTGCGAGCCTGATGCAGGGGGGCAGGGAAGACTGACTGGACCCATGCTGGGAATTACTGTTCTTTGCCACAGCTCAGGCTGCCAGCAGACAGCGTGAGAGGCACATGGGTACAGGACGGTTCTCTCTCTCTGTGTCTCTTTGTCTCTCTCTCTGGGTCTGTCTCTCTATCTGTGTCTCTCTCTGTGTCTCTCCAGCCTGCTGGATTTGCACCTGCCACGGTTTTCCGTTTCTGGAACATATTACCTGGAAGAGCTCCTCCCCCTGCTCGGTCTCACCAGCATATTTGACTTGGGAGCCAACTTTTCGGGAATCACCGGGCAGCTCAACAGAACCATCTCCCAGGTAAGGCTGTGACTGTGGACTTTTGGCGAGCGGGACTGCTTCTCTTCTCACGCAAGGTGCCCTTGAGAATTATTTTCCTGTACTGATGCGTCCTAACCTTGATCTTTTGATTTCTTTCAGCTGCCTTTCTACCTTCCTCATCTAGATCTATATTTTTCAGGGAAGAAATACGAGTTTCTCAATAAAATAGTCTCCTCAAGGTCATCCACCGAGCCAGAGTATGAGATGGCAGTGCTTTTATTCCCGAAACATCTTTCTCGGGGAGCAGTGAGATTCTGTTGGCCTTTGTTGCAGCTGCAGAGCGGGGTGTGACCCGCAGGTGTGTGGTCAGCCCTACAGCTCAGCACCGTACCACAGGAAAGGCTTATTTCTTGTTCATATTACACAGCAGAGGCAGGTCTGTAACACTGACTACACACCTGGTTCCCGTGTCTCCTTCCTTCCAGGGGAGCCCCACCCCTGGGAGATGCTATTCTAGACACCATTCTAGAAATCAAGAGAAAATGTGCAATGACTCTTAACACCTCTCCCACGCGTGGCCTATGTAGCGGTTGCTCAAGGCCTTTCTGAGCAGGGGGTTCTATGTCCTCCCTGGCAGGAGACTTGGAAACTAGACTGAGTGCCACAGCCCTAACAGGAAGGAGGAGTTGACATTTGGGAATAATAAGACAGGAGGAAGGCGGCCAAGGCCCTTCCCTGAGCTTTGGTTGACTTTTTTGGTTTTTGCTGACGTTGCTCCTTACCACTTGATTCTCCCATTTGGAACTTCATAAAAAAAGCATTCTGTCTCCTTCTAGGAAAAGCCCAGCTGGGGTTCCTCCAGCTGAGGATTCCGTGTGCCACCTGGGCAATGAGGCCATGGCCTTATGTGTGTGTTTGCACTTTCGTGTGAACACATGTGCATGGTGGGAGGGTAAACAAGAGGGAAAAAAACGTTTTTGTTTTTGAAAGAACTTTTCAAAGCAATTTTAAATCCTCCATTTATTTTTCATAGTTTTTAGAAATAAAAAGGATCATCAAGGCTAATGTTTTTCAACTTCTTTTAAAGTGTCAGAAATTGTGTGAAAATGAGGAGGGGGAAGAAGAAGAGAAAAACAAAGAGGAGGAACAGAAGGGGGAGAGGAAGAAAGGAGAAGGGGGAGGTGGGGGGGAGGGGAAGATGGCAGAGTTCTACTGAGCCCATTGAGAACGCTGTGGACCCAGCCCGAGCGTGGCCTTTTAAAGATGAGAGAACTGAGTCCCAGAGAGGCCCTGTGTATCTGGAGAAGGAAAAGGACACCCAGGCTGGGGCCTCCTGTGCCCAGGTGTGGAGAAGAGGCGTCCCTGGCATCTGGTACGTGCAGGCAGCCTCAGCCTGGCTCACACCCAAAAGGCAGTGTGCATCGTTGGGCAGACCCTCAGTAGAGAGAAAACGAGGCGGCTCCAGCCTTCCAGGCAGTGGGGCTTGAGCCACACTGTCTGCCTCGGTGTCTGCAACACCCCAGAAGGCGGCCTCGGCCCTGGAAGCCCCCTGATCCATGCTGTGTCTGGCCCTCTTCTCTTCCTGTAGGTGTTGCACAAGGCAGTGGTGGACATGAACGAGAAGGGAACCGAGGTAGGGGCCGCCTCAGGCCTCCTCTCCCAGCCGCCGGCCCTGAACACGACCTCAGCACCCCACGCCCACTTCAGCAGACCTTTCCTGCTGCTGCTGTGGGAGGTGACCACCCAGAGCCTGCTGTTCCTGGGCAAAGTTGTCAACCCGGTGGCAGGGTGACTGTGCTGAGGGTCAGAGGTGTCTCCTGTCCCCTCGCCAAGCAGGAAGGGCAGCCCCCGCCTGCACGGCAGGGCCCGTGTGCACAGACACTAATAAAGTTCGGGTTTGTGAACCCTGAGCAATTGGGCCCATCCCCGGGAAGCTCGTAGCCATCGCTCCATTGTCATCTCTGCCTGGTGTTGCTAACCGTGGTTAGAAAGTTAAAGATGAGAACAGCCCATGTTATGGTCTCGTGGGACATGGTTACCACTACCACCATCACGATAGCCGTCTGCTGAGTGTCCACTTGGTAAAGGTCGCCGTGAAAGACACAGGGGACATCAGGAGTGGTAAGCAAGTCTCTGGCTTCACAGAAGCCCACCTGGGCTGATAGCCGCGTCTTTGCTCAGATGTCAGGGGCTGGGTCACCTTGGGGAAGGGGTTGCGGCCGAACCTGGGTCAGGACCTCCCATGTGCCATGAAGAGCCCGGGTGTGGATAGAAACGTGCACACATGTGGCCCCTAGCAAGGAAGGCTACTGGAACAGCAAGGGCAGAGTGTCAGGGCCAGGGGGCAATCCCCAAACCAAGGACGTGTGAAGGTCACACAGCCAGGAGCACAATGGGCATAGGTCACAGCCTGGTCAGCTGTGTGCATCTGGAGGCCGTGTTCAGGGGGGATGGGTGCCCTTCCACAATCAGGAGACTAGATCCCCAAGATTCGCCCATCCAAGAAGTACCCGCTAGGGACAGAAGAGGATGGCAGCAGAGCCCCTTGTGGGCATCGTCACGGGGCTGCCGGAGGGACTTCTCGGGCCACGTGTTCTCAATGAGAGACTTCAGCCAAGACACCGAACAGCACTGAGAGAGCAAAGGCAGAAGTTACTGCCAGGCAGAGGCACCACAGGAGGGAAGCGTGGACAGGAGTCGCCATGGCAGAGGCACCAAGTACAGGTTTCAGTGTTAGTGACTTTTGTTAGGAGGTTCTGTCTTTTCAGGTCTGTCCTCCTGTTTGGAGTCCTTTCAAATGCTGATGAGACAGGAAATGACCCCAATGCAGGTTATTTGTTCCAGAGCCCGTAAAACCTTCCCAAGGTCTGCTTGGCACCAGCACCCCTTAGCTAGGTACTTTCAAAAAGACACTGTTGCTGGGAATGTGGCTTCATTCCTGTGGGCAGATCTTAAAATGTTACTCTACTCCTCTGTAATCAGGGCCCTCAGCAGCAGCAACTGGGAACGCTGAAAGCTTTGATTCATTTTTTAGAGACAAATACCCCAAAAGTCTTAGCTGACCACACAGGCAGCTGTGCACAGTGCCTGACTTTAAGGTTTCACCGTCCTGCAGAGGAACAGTTCTGATCTGAGACCTACTAGATGACTGCAAGCACAGAAATCTTTATTTCTTTGCTTAACTCTAAGTAGCAAAGTATGTTATTTTGATTTCCTTGGCCCCTTCGGGCTCCTCGTGTCTTAGGTATGACAATGCCTGGGTGAAATGCTCTCATGTGAGATGACCCGAAGTGGTAAAACACACGATTCTGTTGCAGGATAGCATGGTGTCTGATAGCTCCAGGCTCTTTCTGTCCCACCCAAAGAATTGGCGAGACCCTCAATGAATAGGTAAATGTAACTTTTATTTGAAGTAAAGGAAGAAAAGGGAAAAAGCAAAGAAAAGAGAAAGAACAAGGAAAAATGTGTCCTTCAAGCAGGACAGACTACTGCAGACACAGGAGGACAGTGGAATCACAGTGGCAGCAAAATCAAAAGCCATTGCCTTTTGTACCCACCTTGACCTCATCCCTTGGAAGTTGCTCTGCCCAGGCATCCCAGCTGGGACTGACAGGTCGCAGCCTGTTGCTGATCTGCCTGTTTTCCGGATCAGGTTACATCCGGCATCCTGTTTTCAGCCAGCCTGCCTTGCCCTAATCGCCTGCCTCCATTCTCTTTTCTGGATCTTCTGGCACTATAGAACAAGGTGTTTATGTTGTCGTTACTCAGTGAGTGTTAAAAGCTAGTGAGCTATGAGGACTGCAGGAGGATCTGGAAAGACCACGCTGTGCTCCAGCCTCAGCCTCGTCTCTCCAGTTCTCTGGCTATAATTCTGAACAATGCCCAGAAGGAAATTGAAGTCCTGGGTTTGCTGGTTATGGTGCTGGCTGTGGCTTTCAGTCAAGATCATTCAAAAACCCTAGTCCTCTGAATTGGACTCCCTGAAGATAACCAAGACCCAAGAGGCCTTTTTTTTTTCCCAAAGCCGAAACCCTAATCTTGGGTCTGGTTGATCCAAAGTAGCCCGTGACAGTGAGGGATGAAGGAGTGTGGGGTGGAGATGCAGAGAGAAAACAGGGAGAAGGAACATGTTTCTGAAAGTGGCTAAATGATTAAACAACACAGATGCAGCCTGAGTTTCAGTCTTCTGACCTCAGTGTCACCTAGGAGAAGATTCACAAGCCAATGCTGAATCTCGTGTGTGTGGTGACTTATGGCCTGCTCCCCATGAAAGGGAGGCAGCGTTTCTCATGGTGGCTGAAATCCCTCTCAGCATGCTTTTATCACACATCCTTTGAATGGGGAAGGGAGTGAGAGGAAAAGACGATTCCACATCCACTGCCCATCACCAAAAGCAAGCCCTGCCCCCTGCTGGTTACAGAGAGTCACTGAGGACCCCAGAAGCCTGCAGGAGCACCCCTCCTCCTCTTAGGCAGTGCAGGAAGGGAATGAAAGAGGGTAGAGAGCTATGTAAAATACCGGGCACCAAGCAGAACTTGAATTTTAGATAAACAGCAAATAATATGTCCCAGGCAATATTTGGGCCATATGCACACTAAAAGTATGTTCATTGTTTATATAATATTCAGATTAATGGAATTTGTCCTTTCACTTGCTCAATCTGGCACCTCAGGGAGGCGGGTAGGTGGATCAGAGAGAAGAAAGTCACAAGAAGCTGCAGGGCAGGCAGAGGGTTTCGGAGCAGACAGAAGAAGGTTTAGAAGAAAGAGCGGGGAGGGACCCTGCGCCCGGGACCCTGTGTCTACCGGAACACAGATCCAGGCTGGCCTGCTGAGCACTGCTGTGTTGGCATCAAGCTCTATCCAGCCTCCTGTTACACTGTGGGTGCCCCAAAACTGCGCACATGTGCCCCAAAATTGTGCACAGATGCAAAGTGAGCCCTGGCAAGGCCAGCCACACCCAGACAGGCCAGAGGACCTGGATTTGTGGCTCCAATCCACCAAGGGCTGGGGCAGCTTGTTAGGTGGCGAAAGGCAGCTAATGCAAGGGGAGAGGGGTGCTGGGAGTGGGCCTTGGAGATTCTGGACTGAGAAGCCACATGACACATGATGACACCCAAGTGCCATGTCCTGGAAGATCGATCCCCTTGCTCTTCCCAAGGACTGAACAGCAGGTGCTGCAGTTGCTATTTGTGTCCCCTGTCTCAGGGGACCCACTGACCTGAAGAACCTTGAACAGAGTCATTGAGCCAGGAACAGAACTTGGTCAAAGGAAACCCACCCTTTGGCTGATCACTCACACATTTTCCGAAGTACTTATTTTAAGACCTTTTGGAAGAAGAAACCACTTTCCCAGGAGGCCAGGGCAGGCAACAAAGAAGTTGTGGCTTTGAGAGGAACACCTGTTCAGCCTGGCTGCCCTGGAGGCACACAATGGTGACAGAACTCGGCTTGGCTGATGCACTGGGTGTTGGTCCTGGTGGCCCAGTGGGCAGGGACAGTGTCTCTTACTGGTCCCTTTGCTGGTGAGGCCAGAGAGAGTGCTCCTGAGAGCTGCCAGCTCTAGAGACACAGGCTTTGGGCTGCCAGATGGGCAAAACCCAGGGGAAGCCTGAGCCAAGCTGGGTGTCTCTGCAGATAGCTGCTGGGGCACTGCAGACATCAAGGACACTGCAGAGGCCGCAGAGGTCACGATGGAGACATAGCATGCAAAACTCAGTGATGCCCTTTCTAGGACTCTTCCCCAAAAGCTTAAATCATCATCCTGAAGCAATGTGTGCACTCCAGTGTCTACAGCAACATAACCCATCATAGCTAAGTCCTGGGAATGGCTTGTCTACCCATCAACAGATGATTGGATAAAGAAAATACAGTGTCTGTATTTCATGAAACACCATGCTGCTGTAAAGAATGACAGATTTAGACATTCGTGAGGCAATGGATACATAATGGAAAACATAATGTTGAGTGAAATAAGCCAAACGTACGAACTGAAATCCCATATAGCTCTCTTATGCGAGCAGAGCAAAGTGCATACAAAGACAGTATGGACTAAAACCATGAGTCAAAATTAATCTCTCCTCTTTTAAGTTGTGAAGAGCATGAGACTCAGACAGGTGATAATGTCTGAATTTTGGAGTAACACATCATTTAGAGCACGGCACCACCTGAACCATGGCATCCCTCTTACCTTATTAATTTTCAGTGGAAGTAACCAAGGGTTCTCCCTCAGAGGGACAGACATCGCACACTGACAGAAAGTCCATATGGTTGGCTTTTGTCCCACAGTGGATACGCAGGACCTACCCTAACCTCGAGACAGTCAGGACATCAGTTTGTTCAGTGGTAGCTAAATTTAAACACTGTTTTCACATCAAAACAAGCTCTTATGATGGGACAAAACGTAAACTTCCAAAAAAAATCCATGCTTCAGAGGAAACCATCCTGCTGCAGACTTTGTGGAAATATAACTGTTTTCCCCTGTACCATGGTAGACTTTGGTGACAAACCATTGGTCCTGGTAGTGTGGTGATCCACTTCCCAAGGTACGAAGGAGCCAGAGAAAATAATTTAGAAAGAAAAAAATTATTAATTAAAGCTGTGCTGGCGATGCGGCCTCCAGTAGCCAATATGGAAGACTGTGCACCTAACAGCTAAAGGGCAGGGTTTTTATGCTGTAAAACCGCACACATCTGCTGGTCTCACAATGCAGGGGGGTGGGGGGTTCGAGGTGCACTACAGAACAGGAACACGGCGGTTACATTTCTTGGGAAGAGGAAGGTTCAGGTAAGGGTTGGGATAACAACCAAGTTTAGATTAGGCAGACATCCTCTGGGGAAGGCACATCCTGCAAACAAGCAAGTCATCCTGCAAACAAGCAAGTTACCCTGCAAACAAGCAAGTTTAGATTAGGAAGACGTCCTATTCTGCTCTTAGAGTTA